TACAATATTTACCATTTGAGACATCGTCCTTTTAACGACTGTGCATTATCAGCTATTTATCTTTGACATGCATAAGCAGCTTTAATTGTTACAATTACACATTTGACCAACATGTGGAAATCGTATTCCAGGTACAATTCTAATTATAAATTCATGTTTTTCCCTTCAAGAATTCGATTTCACAGTGTGTACAAAGTTGAGTCATAGAACATTTTCATTTGTGTTTTTTTAATTTGTTCCAGCTGAAAACATTGAACTTTTATCTGGTACACATTTTCCATTATTATTAAATGTACTGAAGTAGTGTTAAACATCAGAATTTTTTTTTTAGTAATTTTTATTCGTTTAATTTTCACAGTCCATGGCAGGCGTTATTCGCTACTCAATTTGATAAGCTCTGTAAAAGCCAAATTTCTGTTTCTATGCATTTACTTCAATTCACTTCAAATCTGTTAAGTTTAATAATATGAAGATTTGAATGAATTTTTATACCATTTATCTTCTACGATTAATATATTAAAACCCATAATATGGGGAACAAAATTGTGTTCAATTTCGATTTATATTATATAAATTTCTAAAACTGTGATTTTGTATAAATATCTGCAGTGTACTGACAACCCTCCTTCTTGTTCTATTGATTCGTTGTCCGCATTCTACAAAGTTGCACCGGAATAAAATCAATCAATATTCTTATTACTACTGCAATAAAAGATTCCTTTGTTGCATTTCTCATAAATATTTGCAAACATACCGTACACACTCGTAAACAGTGATTATGTATGCCACGGAGACATGACATAATATTATTATATGCAGAAGATGTTTATGGAATTTCAAATCTTTACATTTTCGAACATGAGGAATACGTAGATTTTAATAATAAGGCTGGAAACAAAATAACGCGAGAAATTGGCCTGTCCTCAACAGAGAGATTTCTTTTGGGATGGATTGAAGAACGACTAATAACTCAAATCATTTGCATGTTTTACAATTTCTTATTGTGGATATAGCAAGTATGTTAATACCAAAAAACCTCTAGAATATTGAAAATTAAGTGAAATACAAAGCAGCAAAGTAGGCGCTCGGCAATGTGCGTGTTCAGGTGGTGAGCATGATTTCAGTTGACTGACTCATCTGATAGCAAAATCGTTGAAAATGAGTATTCTTTGACTCAAGATCTTCAAGGTGGAACTTTCTAAAAGATTTTAATAAAAACTCGCAAAATTATACAAGAAATATCAACTCTGTAAATTTTTCCTAAAATTCTCTAAAAATAAACATATAAATAAATTTTTCAGAGTTCAACGATTTTAATGAGCGAATTCTATCTTGTAGATATTGAGTCAGAGAGTACTCATTTTCAACGATTGTGCTTTCAGACGAGTCATTCAACTAGAATAATGTTCACCATCTGGACACATGCATTGTGCAGTGCCAATTTTTGGCAGTTTGTATTTCACTTAATTCTTAATATTTTGGAGGCTTTTTTAGCCTTAAAGTACCTCTTATACCTATAGTAAAGAATGGTAGAATGTGCGAATGATTTGCGTTATCGATCGCTCTTCAGTTCAATCCAAAAGAAACCGTTCATTTCAGTCATCTAACAGAGTTGGGCAAAATGTAATCTGATTACAAGATACAAATCTCAATTACAATGGAATTGCAATGTAACAATTACAATTGCAAGAGAATTATAATTACATTGTAATTGTACTTTAGATTTTGCAATTAGATTACATTTTGTCCAACTCTGCCATCTAATGCTTACTACAATTTCGTTCTGACTCAACATAGAGTTTCTGATGACATTGTTAATCATTATTAAAAATCTTTGTCTTATAACATAATTTTCATACGGTTGAAAGTCGTGACCGAGCAGTAGCTTTACTAAAACCTCCTAAGAAATACTAATTTTCAGCAGAAATGGAAAAAGTTTCATCTGTGTGTTGCTTTCTAAGGAAACGATTTTGAAGGATATAATATTATAGTCTTGTATATAACGTGGATACGCTTTTGTAAATGCAGTCTCATCACTGAGCTGCTTTCTTCTTGCACAAAATCACAGTGATGTGGATTCATTTATAGAAGTAGAACGTGAATTGACATTTATATTCGTTATTAACAGTTTCATTACACCGAAGGTAAAATAAAAATTTCACTGAATGTTACTAATTCTTTATTTCATTGCATTCTAGACATCTGTGTGTACTACAAATGGATAGAGTGCCTGCCCAGTATACTGATTACTAGACTATGGATCTTTATGCAAATTCAGATTCTTATTGATTAATTCAGTGAACTGAAATTTTGTCAGAAATTTGTTTCCTTTATGAAAGACTCTGTTATGTCCATACTAAAGTGGTATTCATAGCAATCTTTACGAAAATTGTTACTGTTTTACATTTACATTTACATTTACATTTACATTTATATTTACATTCACATTCACATTCACATTCATGATAATAACTCCATGAAATCCAAACTTACTTTTATTTCAAGTACACCGTGGTCCTTTGTGCATTTATAACATACGTTAATGCACAAAACATAATAAGTATTGTAATGCAGTTTAATAATGTCCTCACATTTCGACACTAATAGAAAGTTTAATGGGGGTTAGACATATAAAAGAAATAAATAGCTATTAAAAAATAAGCTTACAAAACTTCTATAACTTTCTCTAGAATACTGGTTTTTATAAACTATGCTGTAAATATGAGAGTTGGGTAAATGTCAAGAGTCTAGTGTTCAGTATAATGTGTATATGTGCGTATATTGTGTGAATATATTGACAGCAGCAAAATACAAACGTAAAGCTACAATTTTGTCAAGTTCCACTTTTCTACATGAATAGATTGTGTATAATAATTACTGCAATGTTTTTTTAGATAAAGAGACTTAAATAATATTTAGTCCATTTGTGTAAAAAAGTGAAAATCAACAAAATTGCAGTTGTCCGCTTGTATTATACTTTGTTGCCATTGATATATTGGCCAGACACATTTTTTCGGTAAAAGAACTTTGAGATGCGAAACAACGTCATTATGAACAGGTGCCACTCTAACATCTGGCCATCCCACCCCTCGAAAAGGGAGACACTTTCTGCGCACTTTTCTTATGGACTCAGGGCCACATGGTCTTTAGAAGGATTAAAGGCGTTGACCTTCTTGGTTATTGTGGCAAAATGTTAGCCCGAGCAGCTGCAAACTTTTAGCCCGACCTTTCGCGAAACGCTTCGCTTCCAAATACATTTTCAGGCAATTTTTTCCGTTCAAAATACGACCAGCTTGAAAGCAACATAATTCGATGACTGTAGTCTTCACGTTTAATGCGAGCTTTCATCGCTGGATTCGTTGTCCATTATATCTAGTTATATTTTTTAAAATGAAATAAAGAAAGGTACTTAACATTAATTGAGTATATGTAATTTTGCAATTCTTTGGTTTTGACTGTAGTTCCCTAAAATCTTGTCAGGTGAGCATGAAAACACCTTAAAAGTATTAGTTATTAAACGAAATCGTTATTGTATTTATTGAAAAATGATTTATTTTCTGTAATTTTTTTATAAGATGTTTTGTCTCTAAACCTATTACACTTGAATTTTTTGGTAGAAAGTAAGGAGTAACCTAAGGATATTGTAGTTAAATATGGTCTCCTTTGTATGGTCGAGTTTGGAATTGAACAATTAATTTATTTAATTTGAATGAATCATAAGAAGAGAATACAAAACGTAATTGAACAAAGCTTGACATGTAAAAAGCGTTTGTCATTTTTTTTTGTATTTTGATTGTTGTCCTGAATGTAATACATTCTCATCAGGATGTTCTGAATATAATTTTATTTTTTCCATGAATATAAAGTAATTATTAATATTAATAATAGTAATAGTTTTAATAATTGATTACCCTATTAACTGAGGAAGACGATTTAACTCTGGAATTTTTTGCTTCGCTATAGCTCTTAATAATTTTTTATTTTCCTTTTCCTTTGCCTATAGAATCCCTGGTCCAATCGTGCCAAAGTAATTGTATTACATCTTCTTTTGTGTCTATTGCAGGACAGAATACCTCAGACCCTTTTTATTCGTCTTCACTTGTGGTTAGTCATATATAGCATGAATCTATTGTTAAAATTGTACCTTAAAGACTGGTTCATAAAAAGAAAGCACTTAGTAGCAATTCAAATAACAATATGTGTTAATTATCTAAAAATCGTGTCTTTCGTAAACATCTTCTAGAAATTGTAATATTGTCTAATTACGAGAAAAAGTTCTCCACTTTTAAGTAAACTCGGGTACAAAATGCGCTTCAATAATTTTTAAATTGCATCTACGCTTTAACTTCTGTCTTTATCGACCGATCCTCCCGAACCTGTGGCTCACCCTCGCCCGGTCTCTTGGCGTCACCGTCTGAAAACGAACCCCCTCTTCGTTTATTACAAATCTACTACCACATTACTTAACCAGTATTGTTTACTTCGAATATAAATTGCCGAATAATTAGAAAATAATCTGCAAGAATAAATATGTAGAAATATATTCAACAATTTTTTTTATCATATGCTCTTAAAAACCCAATGATATAAATTTGTGTTTTAATTTTTATAAGAACTTTTGTTATAGTTTTTGTTTAATGTGTATAAATAGTTACTTATAAATATATCCACCATGATGTGATACACAATTTTTGTTAGCATCATCACAATGAAAGGAATACACAAGTCACCGTTCCATTCGATCAATAACCTTCAGGTTGTCTAGCAATATTTTTAATATTCGATCGAGCGCAATCTTTGATTGCTTCTTTATATAGATGTGTTGTTTTAATATTGTGCCAAATGAATCTCTATTTTTAAGAATTTATCTGATAAAAAATGTATGTAAATAACAATTAATGGATTGTTAGATTTTGTGTGCATATCATAATGTATGATATTGTAAGCATTATGCACTGTATCTATATGTAAGGTTAATTTTATGTGCCTTATGGTTGTAGACTATGTCAGATAAAGAGAAGAAACGTTTCCATGAAATGGCAGAAAAAGACAAGAAGAGATATGATGCAGAAATGCAGAATTACACACCACCCAAAGGCGAAAGTAAAGGCAGAGGCAAGAAACGCAAACACATCAAAGATCATAATGCTCCTAAGAGATCACTGTAAGTAATGCCTTTAATATAAAATATTTGTAACAGTCTACTAAAAGATACCTTTAAAGAATTTCCGGTTATATATATTGCTTATCTTTACATTTGTGAATAAAGAAATAATTTCTTAAAAAATGATACGTGGTTACGTTCACCAGGTCTGCTTTCTTCTGGTTCTGTAATGATGAACGTGGAAAGGTCAAAATGCTGAATCCTGAGTTTGGTGTAGGTGATATTGCTAAGGAACTGGGCAAAAAATGGTCAGATGCAGATCCTGAGACTAAATCGAAATATGAGGCTATGGCAGAACAAGATAAAGCTCGATATGAAAGGGTACGTAATCTTTCTTTAATTCGTGCAAAGTAACCGAAACATCAGCAGGAAGAGTTTTCAATAAAAAGATATCGGCTATTTTGTAGAATTTATTATTAGTGTAGGTAACCAGTTTCAGTGTTTATAATGATGCTATAAATATGCTTGTTTTACTGAGCAAGAATATATTATATTTGTTGAACTTGTAAGAAATGGAATTAAAAAGAGTATCGAATTTTGCTAAGAAATTTGCCATTTTATATGTCGTAACTTATAAAATGTTGTACATCAATTGTGTATGAGCTTGTATTATTTTTTGAATAATTTAGGAAATGACTGCGTACAAAAAGAAAATGAAGGACGGTGCACCCGTAGTAGCAAATCCAGTGAATACTGTAAAAAGCGACAGTGAAGAAGAGTATAAAGAAGATGATGAATAGCGGATACACGACAAAATTTCATCTATCACCCCGTGTCCTTGATCCTGAAAGCATACCTCACCTACTGTACGTACCATTGACCTTAGCGTGAGCGTACTTACACCACTAGGGAAACGAATAACTAATCACCAGTCCCCGATTATTTACAATAATAATTCAAATACCCGCGATTATAATAATTATTTTAAAATTGTATGTATGTGAGGCGCGAGAGAAGACCGTGTGAGTGACATTTGTATTTTAACATATTGATAGTAACATGTAAAATGGCGTAGGATAGCAGAATGAAAAGAATATGGTGCCCACTTTGTATCAGGTGGAAGGCGCAGGGGCTCAATCATTGTTGACATTGTCTCCAGACTATGTTAAAAGCTAACGTAGTTGCAAATCGTAATACAGGATACGGCGGCTCCATAGTTGGGCGGTATCACTCGATATAGTTTGATATTTATCAGTTCAGTTCATTCGTTGCCAGTGTAAGAAGACTTATTGTATATCCTTGTACAGAACATTTCTTTAAATCAAATCTGTCGCAGGTGGGGCATGGGGCTGCTTTGTATGAATGTAACTGATTTAAGTACGTGTCGTATAGTTGTAAGTATTAGGCTAAGTATATTTTAAATGCAACTTCGATTCTACATCTGCGTCAACATGTGATAGTTTTCACTAACAATGTATTCTAAACCAGGAGATTGAGCCTTATATAGCTTATAAGTAATTGGAATCGAAACAAATATCTCTGATTGACAATTTTTCGAAAATAACACAAAATTGGGACGACGACAACCCAGCCATGGAGCAGTGGTATTGCAAAGTCCTTTAATTTACGCAAAACGAATAATTTCTGTTCCTCATATTATTGATAGACGGAGCTATCTAATTTCTTTTATAAAACTGATCATAAATTTGTGTTTACGTTGTCTTAAGGATTATTATAATTTCTCAATCTTTTTATAACGACATTAAAACGATACATTTTCGTTATTATCAGAATCAATTGACAGTCTTCAAAGACATACCAAACTAGAATTGTATTTTGAGTTTTATCTAATTGAAGTAGTCCCTGCCCTTACCATCGTCATCCTCCCTCTCATATTCATTTTTCCAATAAAGGAAATACGTTTAAATCCTTTCAGAATCATGTGATTCCGTTCATTGTTTAAGAAAGTAAGATAGGGCGTGTCTTGTATTGCCTCGAGTCATCTGGTGTACAGCAGGCTGTATTATAATAAATTATTGTGGTTTCTTGTAATATTAACATTCCTAGATCTTAGTATGTACAGATCTTAATCATTGAGATTAGAGCCAACTGTGTAAGAAGCATACCAAACAAAACCGGCTAGGTAATGCAGATGTGAATTTCGTGGCCAAGAATTGGTATGCAAAACGAATATACAAGAGGCTTTGTTACAGTTCAGACTGACTTGCACCTTGATTTGGCTCAGCAGGTAACCACTACTTTTTGACATAAAGCTTTTCATCTCCCCTGCACATTGTCATATAACGGATAATTGTGTGATTATATAAGCAAAAACAAAACCTGTTTTAGAGGGAGCTAGAGGACGAATACTGTAAAATATGAAATTGTAATATTTTAATACTGATTTGCAGATGTGCATAATTTTAACATAGCTGGTTAAAATGAATTGTACTGATACGAAGGTATCCATTTGATGGAGATAATTAATAAAAAGATATTGAAAATTACGACAGAATTTTCTGTATTATTATAGGGGAATTATAACAGTTATAAAAGAAATGTTTGTTTTGTATATCTCTTAGGATAAATAAACTTTTCAAAAAATTTGTGAATATGTTTCTGGTACTGCTCCAAACCTGTTTCTAAACATTTACATGTGCAAAATGTTTAATTCTGAAAGCAGTACTAGACTTTAGAGTACTAACACTTACGATATTTGTATAAAAGTAAGTATATATTATGTCCATTTGTTTATGACATGAACTATCTTTTTTCACACCTGCTTTCTTGTAATACGAACGAATAACATCCGCATTTTACACATTTATGCTGGTGCTAACCACAAGAATAAGCAATTAATCCAAAAAATGGAAGTAATGTGTTAACTTATTTCATGTTATACACATTACATGCTTCAGCGCAAAAGGACATTACTGTACTTTTTTATATGTATTTCATAGGTTCGAACGATTTTCTATTATTTTATAAGCATTACCGTAGGTTATAAATGTACCCTTGACGTAGTATTTCTAACAATAAATCAATAATTGTTATGGCATAAATTTTTTGTTTGTATATCAGAACAATTTAATATCTCGTAGCCACAATTCATGATTTAATGTGAATAACACATTCATACATGTAACTGGCAATATTCATTTGTTTTATAATTCCATTGTAATAAACTAGCGAACAAAACATGTAGACAACATTGTTGCATTTAGTTAATAATCAAGTGTATTTTTTTGACTTTATCAAACATTAAATTAACATATGTTTTGTGACTTTATTAGAATATATTCATTCTTCTTATACTACTAATTCATCTTATTTATATGTAACACATATTCAGTTTGAAAATTGTCTAAATAGTTTACACTATTTCTAAAGTCTCAACTGTTTCTATTTCTGGTTAACAATGGAAACAGTTATATACCTCAATATTATAATTTATGTACAATCTATACAATAAATATTCACGTTTGTAGACTTAATATCATATTACTTTAGAAATCTTATGCTAAAGTAAAACTAATGTTGAGCATTAATAAAAATATTTATTAATATCACATATGGTATATAAGAATGATGAATAAGAACAGTTACATAACATTGCTTAGAAAAAATACATGTGCAACTTATAATAAATTATAGAGTATAGAAAAACTTGCAAATGTAGAAATTGTAAAAGTGAATGGAATATTGATTAAATATTCTATTTTGCATTTATAAAACCACACCCGCACTTTTGGTTACATTATTTTGAACAAAATTTCTATTATACATCAGTTATACTTTTATGTGAAGAAACATTTATATAGAAGGTTCCTATCATTAATAAATTATTAGTAACTTGTCAGTAAACTAACAATTCAGATAAATGTTGAGGTACATTAATATTCAAAGAGAAGATATTTATACTGTAAACCAAGAATTTACAAGCAGGACTGAATGAAACTTATTTCAAATAATTTAAAAATAAATGTTTTAAATAACACTGATAATTACTTAGCAATTAGTGTATTTCAATTGATGTCATTTTTTAGATGACCAGTTAAATGTTTCTCAATAATTAAGGAAATAAAAAGTTGAAGAAATAATATCGTTAATTGAATATTTGTTCTCTGATTGGAGACTAATAAACAAGGGAAATTGAAGATTGAATGTAAGTAAATTTTATACATTTTATATATATATATATATATATATTAGCATGAACGTTACTTAATAATTAAGCGATTTGGTGTTGATTACACATCAATGGATAAACGAGTTTTAGCATTCAACAGAACTTGAGTCAAGTTACTTGACCAAACCTTTAATCCGTTTTTCCTTTATTCTTTTATTTTCTATTGTTAAATCTGTTATTCCAAATAAATATTTATATAGTTTATGTGTAAAATACTCGTTAAATAATTTACCTCTTGCGAAACAGATTATTTCTCAAATATTAGTAAAAAGTAATAACACATTATTTGAAAAGTTCTCGAAACCTCCGGACTCGATTGTGGGGCTAAATTGCATTTTTTAAAAATTTGAAATTAACGGTAAGAAAGCGAAACAGGCTTTAAGACAAAAGAAATTCGCTCTCAGTACCATCTGCCGACGCAACCGGTGAACTGCAACATTGACCGGGTTCGCAAAATTCATAGTTTCGAAAGATTGTTTTGTTTGTCTTTTCGTTTGCGTTCAATCTTAACGGTTGTAACGAGGACTTTAAGGACTAATCGAAAACTAAATGTAAAGACTCAACGGTTATTAAAGGGTCACATTGGCCTTAGTTTGGCTGCTTAAACGGTTTTAATGAATTGAGTCAACGATTTTTCTATAAACGTTGACTGTTCTGTCGAAAGTAATTCTCATATATCGCCGTTTTATAAGGTAAGTTTGGTTTCTTAATGACGAATCCCTCCGACTGGTACATGAAATTTCTGGCTGTCATAAACCAGGATTCATTGTCTTTTTTCATTCGTTCCAACAAGGACGATCTCTGCTATAACAAATTAATATTACGTTCAACACATACGGAATATATATACAAACAGTTGATACTAAAATATATCAACATATAACAAATTTCTTTAGAACTATAAATGCTTCGTTTCACATTATAACTTGAACTTATCGTCGAGGACAGTTATTCGTATCGTTTAATTGCAATTTGCGAATGTGATAATGAAATTTGGGTTTTTACTTAATGCTTTATAAGGTTTGCTTATAATTTAATGCCTTACGTGTGTACTTATATGGTTTTATTTTGATAATTTAAGGGATATATAATAGGTGAAAATGTTAATCAGTTTTTATATAAATTAATAATCTTCATAGGTTTTGAAATATGGAACAAGATACAGAATATGTTAAGCTACCATTAGAAGAACGATGTGTGCACAAGGTAATATATGTTTTTGGGTGACTTGGTTTTTACTATAACATGCTTATATTTTTAATAATTTCTTCAATTAATCTTATACAGTTATGGAGAGCACGTTTGCATGGTTATAAAGAATGTGTTAATACATTTCAATGTATCGATGATGAAAAATCACCTGAATGGAACAAGTTCCTAGGATTTATAAAGAAGTTTGTATCAGACAGCAATGCTGCAGCGCAAGAAAAAGGATTGGAAGCAGCATTAGCTTTTATTGAAAATGCTGCAGTAGCAGGAAAGTAAGTTCTATGTACAAAAATTGATGTATTAATTTGTATATCATTTAATATTATTATTCTATTATTATCAGTATAAATCATTCACACATATTTTTACATTATTGTATGATTTTGAGATTCTAGGTAAAAACAGATTGTGTTATTTTATAGGACTGTTGGTGAAGTCATGAATGGAATAGTTACTAAATGTATTGCAGCCCCGAAAGCTAAGACAAAAGAGTTGGCAGTGCAAATAACATTAATGTATATAGAAATTGAAAAGCATGAAACTGTTCAAGAAGAACTGTTAAAAGGGACAGAAGCAAAAAATCCAAAAATTGTTGCTGCTTGTATTAATACTTTAACATTGGCTTTAAGGTAAATAAATATCATTAATATCTACAAATAAAATGAAGTAAAAAATGTAACTTTACATTTATCATGGAAGTATTTACTAGAAAAGTTCACTGATTACTTTTCTTAATGTTACAGGCATTTTGGACCAAAGGTAATTAATATAAAGCCTTTGATAAAAAAGATGCCTAGTTTCCTTGAAAACAGAGATTACACAGTTAGGGATGAAGGCAAATTTATGGTCATAGAGATTTACAGGTATTTTTTTTAATGTTTCGAAATTATCTTGGAAAGTATGAATATTCACACAATACTTTTTTTTTTAAACATTTAGGTGGATAGGTGCTCCATTAAAACAACAATTAAATACATTGAAGCCAGTTCAAATTGCAGAGTTGGAGGTAGAGTTTAGTAATTTAAAAGAAGAGAAAGTTATACCAATTCGGTTTTTGAAATCTCAAAAACCTAAACAAGTATGTGGTACTGTAATTTCTACAAATGACGTCGGTGAAGGTAAGTACATTTGAAATTATTTTATATATTATCACATTTGTATTTTTCTCTCTAATACAAACATCTTGTAATTAAGATGGCAAAGATGACAATGATTGTGTGCCTATGCCAGAAATTGATCCTTATGAATTTTTGGAGCCGGTCGATATTCTTTCAAAACTTCCAAAAGATTTTTATGACAAACTTGAAGCTAAGAAATGGCAAGAGAGGAAAGAAGCTTTAGAGGCTTTAGACACTCTTGTAAAACATCCAAAGTTAGAAAATGGTGATTATGGTGACGTAGTGAGAGCTCTGAAAAAGGTATGCATCACTTGTATTTTAAGCAATTAATTGCTTTACTTATTTGAAATATTATTAACAGGTTATATCTAAAGATACTAACGTATTAGTCGTTGCATTGGCTGGAAAATGTCTAGCTGGACTAGCTACAGGTCTTAAAAAGCGATTCCAACCCTATGCAACAGCTTGTCTATCATCAATTTTAGAAAAATTCCGCGAAAAGAAACAAAATGTTGTACAAGCTCTCAGAGATGCTGCTGATGCTATCTTTTTTAGTGTAAGTACAAGTAAAAGTTTTGAATATCAAATTGATCCTTGAAGTATTTTCTCCGTATTTGTTAAGTATTACATTCTCCACACAGTAATATCATACTTTTTGCATCAATTAGATTTCTGTCGATCTTATACTAGAAGACACGGTTGCAGCGTTAGAAAATAAAAATCCTGCTGTTAAATCAGAAACAGCTGCTTATTTAGCAAGATGCTTTTCCCGTACACCGCCACAAAGCTTAAATAAAAAATTATTGAAGGCGTACACCGGTGTTCTTTTGAAAACGTTGAATGAACCAGGTACACCTTTAGATTGATTTCTGTTAGATCCAGGTTTCCTTTTCTAATATATTAAATATGCGAATAAAATGTATTATAGATCCAATTGTTCGAGATGCTTCTGCTGAGGCTCTTGGTACAGCAATGAAGTTAGTTGGCGAAAAAGCCATGACACCATTTATTACAGACATTGATAACTTGAAAATGACAAAGGTACCTTGTAGATAACAATTTTTAGTTTTATTTAAATGCATAATAGGAAAAACAATGTTTGGTATAGAATATATTAATACACATTTATTTCTGTTTATTAGATAAAAGAATGTGCAGACAAAGCTATAATACACATTAAAGTATCTAATGCACCAAAAATGGTTGCAGAAAGACCAAACACAGCTCCAAGTAAAATTGAATCGGCAGCAAAACCTAAAGACTCAGATTTTAAAGTTCCGAAGAGACCGAATACTAGTACAGCTAGGAGACCCTTAGCCAAAAAACCATCTGGTTCGTCTTTGACAAATTTAGGTAGTTAGGTATTCAAGTTTAGTAGCTAAACTGTCGTATGATTACACTGAGTAACATTTCATTTTTATTCAACTATTCTAGCTGGTACAAAAAAGCCATCTGCAACAAAAATCCAAACAGAGAAAAATTATAGCGTCGAAGAAATAGATGAAATGGCTACACAATATTTACCAACTGATACTCTTTTGGGTCTCGTTGATACTAATTGGAAAACACGTTTATCTGCAGTCGAGCAACTTTTAGAGGTGACTGAAGTATTTCTATTTGGTTGTTTCTGAAACGAATAAATTTACTATTATACTAAATATTAATTAATATAATAATATTTATATGATACGACTGTATCCTTTTTAGTCTGTAAAACAAATGGATTCATCCGAAGTACCTACACAAGTTATTGTACGGACTTTAGCGAAAAAACCAGGTTTCAAAGACACAAATTTTCAAGTTTTGAAATTGCGACTGGAAACAGTAAAGTATCTAGCAGAGACTTTTCCGTTTTCAAAGTAAGATTTATATTTAGTTTTATTAACATTATCATTGTTATCACTATCATTACTGAATTATTCCCTATGTAGTACTATTTGCGAATACTGTCTCATGGATATAACGGAAAAATTGGGAGATGCAAAAAATAGTACAATTGCGGGTGAAACTCTTCTAGCAATAGCAGAAACAACAAGTTTCGAATATGTGGCGGATGAAATAGTGGCATTTGCCTTCAATCATATGTAGAGGTCTCATAGAATTTGGTTGTGTGTAAGTATTCAATCCACTTAAATTGTAAATTTCGAATGAATAAATGCTTCACCATTTACACTATTTATGTATATGTTTTAGTATTAACGTCAAGTCCTTAATGGATAATATCAAAAAAGCAGTTGCAGCAACAAATCCTGGTGTACGTACTTCCGCCATTACATTGTTAGGTACATTGTACATATTCATGGGTAAACCACTGCTCATGTTCTTTGAAAATGAAAAACCTGCATTACGCCAACAAATTGAACAAGAATGCGAGAAGGTAATAAATATACCGCTAATGTAATGTTTACAAATATTATACATGTTGACTGACTGTAAGTATAAGTAATTATAACTAATTAACTATTTTCTCGTAGCATAATGGTGAAACTCCTCCAGTACCAATTCGTGGAGTAAAAATTAAGAAGTCCAAAACAAGTGACGACGATGATGACGATGCCGAGGTGGATAAGAAATCTACTGGCAATAGTGAACTTGATATTAATAATCTCATTCCACGAGTTGATGTCAGCAACCAAATTACAGAGAGTCTTTTGAATGAATTATCCGATAAAAATTGGAAGGTTAGTAGCACATTGTCTGCAGTTGATTAGAAAACTCTTGCAATGGTAATTGAAATTTTTCGAAATATTAGGTACGAAATGAAGGTTTACAGAAAGTGAGTGTCATCATTTCTGAAGCAAAATTTATAAAAGGTTCCATTGGCGATTTACCTCAAGGATTAGCTTTACGATTGGTTGACAGCAATAGTAAAATAGCACAGTCAACCCTGGGCATATGTCAAGCATTAGCTGTAGCAATGGGACCACCAGCAAAGCAACACATTCGAGTTTTATTTCCTGGTTTTATACAATGTCTGGGCGATAGTAAAAATTGGATTAGAACAGCGGCAATCTCGTGTATAAACACATGGGGAGATCAATGTGGTTATAAAGAATTTTTTGACGGTGAGATAATAGGTGATGCATTGAAGTCCGGATCACCGGTGCTTAGAGCCGAGCTGTGGAATTGGTTAGCGCAAAAGTTATCATTGATTCCTGTTAAACAAATACCAAAAGAAGAACTTCTTGTATGTCTTCCATATTTGTACAATAATTTAGAGGATCGTAATTCCGATGTTCGGAAAAACGCTCAGGAAGCAGTTTTGGGTTATATGATTCATCTTTCGTATGAAGTAATGGCTAGGAATACAGAAAAATTGAAACCTGGATCTAGAACAGTGGTACTTGCTGCACTGGATAAATCTCGGCCAAATTTGCCTTTGAAACCGTTGCCAAAGAAACAGCCAGTGGAAGAAAGTAGTCAGAAAGTCGTGAAAAGTGCTGGAGCCATGAAAGCAGCGAAAGCAATAGTAAAACCTAAACAAAATCAATCCGCGTCAAAGCCTGGCAGTGCTCGTAAAAAGGATGACGACACTGATACGAGTCCTTTGTTGGCTATAAATAATCTGAAGCATCAAAGAGTCATCGATGAACAAAAATTAAAGGTCTTAAAATGGAATTTTACGACTCCAAGAGAAGAATTTGTTGACCTTCTGAAGGAACTTATGACTGCTGCGAGTGTGAACAAAACTTTATTAGCAAATATGTTTCATGCAGACTTTCGATATCATCTTAAAGCTATTGAGGCATTAACCGAGGTAGATGTTCAAATAGTTTACACATGTGGTATCTCATTTTAATCCTTCCACGATTATATTTCACAAATTTATTAGTTGTTGGAAAACCTGTCTTAAATGAAACTTATATTGTTGGAGACATGTTTATAACAGAGGACATGTTTTAGTAAATATAATATTTTTCATATGAATTTCTAATTGTAAAAATCCATAATCGCGTATTTTATCTAACATAAACGAATGTAGAATACGTATGTTAAGGTTCAGAAACACATAACTGTTTAGGTTTTAAAATTGATTTATGCATCTATTATGAGACTCTGATGAAAAGTAGTATGTTGTATTTAAAAAAATAAAAGTAATCTTCAGGTCTCAAAGTAAACACCATCTTAACTAAAGATGTGATGAACTAAGCTCGTAGAATGGCATTCATTGATGAAAACTGAAATATTTGTCTTTTGATCGATCCTATTTTATTAATTTAATAAATTCACAAACATACTCTATGAAGAATTAAATCACTTTGGTAACATTCTGTTAAATATCGTAATTATAATAACAGTATTATTGTAGAAACAGTAACCTCTGTATTATGACATCAAATTTCGAATTCACAAAATGAAAAAGAAGATTCTTCACATTGTATATAATAATTCGAATGTATTTTTGAATTCTCTAAATGAAGATATTGCAGGAAAAATATTACAATATAGTCTAATGTATATGTATGGACTCATTTTCATTGGGAAAGCCTTGTGAATGCATTAGTAAGGCTTTCTAGATGCTCATGGGTATTTTGTAATAACGAGCAACAACTGAGATATTACTGTATTTAATAGTGTTTTCAATGGTTATCTGCTTATATCTATTTTATATGAAAAACTTCTATGAATTTTAGGATCTGCCTAATAACAGTAAAGCATTAGTGTCTAATTTAGACCTTATCCTCAAGTGGTTGACACTAAGATTTTTCGACACCAACCCTTCAGTATTATTGAAAGGTCTAGAATATTTGCGGATGGTGTTTAATCTATTAATAGAGGATCAGTATCATATGTTGGAGAATGAAGCAGCCTCCTTTATTCCATACCTCATTATCAAAGTAAATTGTTTGTTTTTCTTTGTCCAACGCATGAATTTATTGACAGATGTTTGTATACATAATGTGAACCATTTTTTAGATTGGCGATCCTAAAGATGCAGTGCGTAATGGAGTTCGCGCATTATTTAAACAAATTGCAATGGTATATCCAGTAAGCAAATTATTCTCGTATATAATGGAAGGTTTAAAATCTAAAAACGCACGACAAAGAACAGGTAACATCATATGTGACAATAAAGTGTAAAGAATATATATTGGATGATACTGATAAATTTTATTTTTTTCCAGAATGCTTGGATCAATTAAGTTCTCTTATAGAAAATTATGGACTATCCGTTTGTCAACCATCTGCATCTGTAGCATTGAAAGAAATAGCAAAGCAAATAGCAGATCGTGATAATTCTGTTCGGAATGCTGCTTTGAACTGTATTGTTCAGGCATATTTCCTGCAAGGAGAACGAGTCTACAAACTTATCGGCCAAGTAATATTTTTAGTAATAAGCGCTTTATAAATGAAAATTCTTTGAAATAACTATTTACGTATTGTTGTACATTTTTTTGTTTGTAGATATCTGAAAAAGATCAGTCGTTATTAGACGAACGTATCAAAAGAGCTGCTAAAAATCGTCCAACGAAATCAGCTTCATCAAACAAACTTGCACCCCCTACAAATACAACTCCTGTCGCTTCTAATGAAGACGTTAAAGCAGAATATGAGGAAGAAAATGAAGAAATATCTGAACCAGAACCTGTTTCTCCGACACCACCACTACAAAATGAACTGTACGTATACTATGTTGTTACATACATCGAATTTTTCATCAATGTTTTCATTGCACTTGTACATAAAATCACATTTTGTACACTAATACTGTTATTGGTATCAACCAAATATTTTCTAATATCACGAACAGCAGAAAATTATAATATTTCAATTTTTTTCATTAATTCTTTTTATCTTTAACTTTTTTATTTATGTTTGCACGAATTTGCTTTTTAATGCTTCTTCAGGCCAAATGTAACAGAGACAGAAGCAGTAACACCAGGCAGCACAATTGACGAAATACAGATGTCTCCTATGACTAATGAACAACCATCAAAAACATCGCCAGTAAAAATTACCGTCCTACCTCAAAATGATCATGAAGATGACACTAAAACGTTTGTGCTGCTTATGTATTTTGTTTTCCATGTGTTGTTCACGTTATGGTGGCGGGTAATCATATTATGATGACGGGTATTATGTGCATAATGTACAATTTCAGTATCTATTAATTTCTGTTCTTTTAACTCCTTTGGCTTCTTTCAAATGCTATTGAAGTTTATAAGAATATTAGATGTACTTATTGATTCAGAAATAATATTTCTTATTAAATAAATAAGGTGATAAGCTAATCTTAAATATGTAAGGTTTAGCCGAAGTGTCACATGCAAGATGGGGCAATAAGTTTAGTCACTTGGAATATTTCCGTCATTTTTTACATATGAAAATATTTTCTTTACAAAAGTTGTACGGTACTGTAGGAGCCATGTACATTACCATGCCAGTAATAATTTTTTTGTGGGTAGAGCGTTTCTTGAAATTTAAAGACCACCTATATATTTTTTTAAATAGCATACTATACTTTTTTATCCCTAGTAGAATAGAGGATCTTTTGACGATTTCAATGATCTGTAATACAAGGTTATTCGGCGTTAAATAATATTTGCTATAGCAATTCGACAATTGCAATGTTATCTCAATACAAACGGACACCACTTTGAACACCTTCTATGGCACAAGGGTCGTCCTTTTACTCCATTACTTAATATTGAATGACTTTGTACTATGGGTTGTTGGAATCGTCTGAACATCTGTTATTCTAGTAAGGATAAAAAAGTACAGCATGCCATTTAACCCTCCGTGGACGGCTCTGGAGTCACGCGCTCGCAAGAGCGATACGCACACAGTGATGGAGCTGCCGTGTAATTCGGGAACTGATCGACGTGTAATTCAAACATATGATTCAACATATCGATGTGAGTCAGAAATGATCCGGCTTCGAACGCACTGGGAGTCGAGTACTCGGAGGGTTAAAAAAAAATAGAGGTGACCTTGAGACTAACGAAAACCCTCCACCCACAAAGAAATTAGTATTGGCATGGTATCGCCCCTTCGGTTACCGTACAATTTTAATAAATATATATTTTTGTATTTCTAAAAATAACAAATATATTCTAGATGGTTAAAGTTACTGTCCACCCTGTATATATAGGATGTGCTAGAAATGTTCAAAGGTGAATTGAGCACAGAAAAGTAAAAAAATTCATATAAACCATTGTTCTATTTAATTTTTAATATGTTTATATGAAATTTTTTAATTATTTAATTATAATAAATATATAATTCACTTCAGAAATTATAGTCACATGTTTTGATACACCCTTGTCTAAGAGGGAGTTGTATTTGAAACTTCTAAGACAGAGAGTCATATCTCTACTTAACTTTATAAGAATAGTAGTTCTTAATAACTAAATATAAGTTGTGAAACACTATATAAAATGAAGAACTGTAGGTAGCACAAGAAGAAATATTTATTGCAATGCCTGCAGTGATGCCTGATGTTGAGTGTGTGCACTAGTATTGATATATACATATATATGGAAAAATCTAATCGTATTAAAAGGGATGGTGTCATTTTTAACTCTATGATATATCACAACGTTGCACAATTTCTGTTGATTTTTTTTGTAACATTTTTAGTCGTTAGATTTGTCATGATTCGTTCTAATGAGAAATATTTAAAAAATGGTATAGTTTCATTTAAAAAAACAAAGGTAACATCCATTTCTCTGAAAAAAGTGCAGATAAAGAAACTCTCATTTACGAAAATTATGCACACTTAAATATAGTTCACCTCTTGTTTAACATAACTTTTGTATAGTTCAACGAAAGTTTTGAAATTTTTTAGCACCACATATGTGGGACACCCTGCATACAAAATTTGAATAATTGTAGCCCGTTTAGTCTGATAGCTTATCAGTTGAGAATAGTTTTTAGAACTTTCAGTAACAGAACTCAGAAACTAAACATGTGACATGTTGTATTAGCATAATATTTTTAATCTATGTAATCAGTATAATAGGTTGATACATTTTCACCAAACACTTTCGGAATCCTTTTTATGCATTTTTTCTTTTTAATTACTTGATAAGCTTTGATATTTTATAACTTAAAAATGATGAAACCGAACTAAGCTGATATGATCTAGATTGATACATACATATCTTCAAAATATCCAGATATATTTTTATCTGATTTTTGTCGAAGAGTAATTTGAGTTTTACGTAATTTTGTAGAAATATTTGCGCATCGACACAGAAGAAAGTAACAGGCCCATTTGGACTTGACATGAATTATTTGCAAAAAATTGAATCAGAGGCGCCTGTGAAATTCAAGAACCCTGTTCTTGTAGAAGTAAACTTAAATGAGCTTGAAGCTCTGCTTGAATCTCCGAATACACTAAATCTACCGAAAGTACCGTAAGTATTTATAATTTTTAATTATATTCATTATTTACATTTATTTATTACAAGAAATAAAAGTTACTATTTACACGGAACGTATATAATTTTAATGTTTCAATTTGGAAATTTAATCATGTAATCATATGGTACATATTTCAGAATGATACCAATTTCTCCACCGAAATTGTTAGTATCAAAGACAGCAACGGTAACACAGCAATTGAATTCAGCTAACTCTACTAAAGAAGGTAGTCTTGAGCGCAAAATTCTTGCAATGGCTAGCTTGGACTTAGCTATTGCGATACAGTCGATGAACAGTATAGATAATGTTTGTATTTATAACAAACATCTTATCATTTATTTTATTTATTGTATATACATGTATATATATGACATTAATTTTTGTAGCTGATAAAATCTCATCAAGTTCTAAGTTTGCAATCTAAAGAAGATAAATTTATTGGTTCGATAAACATGCAACTGAAACTTTTGCAAACGTATCCTTTGCAACAAGGAGGAACAGATACATCTAAGGGTTTTAGAACCACATTTATGGTTATTTTGGCGGTAAGAATAAATTATACGTAATTAAATCCTGAAAATCTAATCAACTTCATGTAGTAAAATAAATAATAATAATAATGCAAAGTTACAATAGGACAGAATTACTTACAATATACATTTTCTATTGTAAGATTATGTACTTAAAAAGATTTAAATTTGGAAACTTGTGAAAAGTGGGGTTGATCAGTTTAGATTTTTTAGGAATCTGTACAATATTGTGTGAAATAGTAATATATGAATTGAATTTATTGTTTTATTACAGTTCTATGACAGTGGCGTTCTAGGAAAAAACGTTCCATTGATACACTTAAAGGAACTTGTGGATCAAATGATTAGCTTGTTAGCTGAGCATAAATTACACCATTTACACCAGGCTGATGTGTATTATCGTGTCATTAACAATATTGTATGCAAAATAATAGATAATTCAAATCATACCACAATTATATGGTAATACCATCAAAATTTATATCCTCAATAACATTTTATTGATCAGAGATAACAATTTGCATCCATGAGTATAGTACCTTACGTAGTTAAAAAATGAAATATAATAGAGAAATAATGCAGAAATAATTAAGACATTTAACATTCATATATGTTAATAATTTAAAAGGATTACATTATTTCATTAAATAATCTGGTAATCAGACATTGTTTTTAGTGTAAGAACTCGATCAATAAACTGTTAACATTATTACAAACAGTGAATAAATATTTAATAATCTTGGCAATTAAATTTTAAACGTCTAATATTCCTTTAATGTTTAGTGCTTTAATAAAACTGCTCCATGGATGTGCAGAAGCTAATGAACCTTCTAAGTACGAAGAGTTAGTTATGAAATGTTTATGGAAAATAGTAAAAACTATTCCTAACTGGGCTGGAGATTTAAATTATGATACGATTCTTTTGGAAGTTCACCGCTTCCTGAAAGTATGTCTTCCTCCTTATTTACCCAACACAAATATTATTTAATACATTTATGACTTAACTTTTTGTAGGATTATCCAACTCTATGGTGGAAAACACGAAAGTCTGACACTCCATTACGGACCATTAAGACAATTCTCCATAGCATGACACGCATGAAGGGCAGTACAATTCTTAGTCATCTAACTCGAATAAATAACACTAACGAATCAGAATTACATCTTTATCTTATAAGGTTAATTGCGGTAAGTTTTAGATTTAATATTTTCACAGTAATGAATATTAAATCGTAGCATACAGAAATCGTAATTTAATATAATAACACTTAGCAGACCTTTAAGCCTGATGAAATTAACAATCCAAGAACAATGGTAAAATCCAGCAATAGTGGTAAGGCTCAAGAACATTTATCAAAGTTTACACACCAGCAATTGTCTGAAATATTTAAGAAAATTGGATCTAAAGAACACACGCAGGAAGTATGTGAAATAATTAATTCATTTTATTTATACAATGCAGTAATTACACTATAGTTTTTGAACAGGGTTTAATGCAATTGTATGACTTTAAACTTCAATATCCTGAAGCTGACGTGCAACCTTTCTTGGTAAAGTCTCACCAGTTCTTTCAAGACTTTATAGAACAAGGGTTAAGAGACATTGATCAAGCACGGAAAAATCAAAATCTTATATCACAAACTAATAATCAGTATTCGATGGGTAAATATTTTTTGTGTATTATTGAAGGCAGTTTGTTATTGTATATACTTACACAATTTATACATTACAGATACAGCTGAACCCGCTGGGCCCGACGAGAAAAACTTAATGGATCCGTTACATAGGCTCGAAAAACTTCGAGCAACTGAAGCACAATGTAAAAGTACCAGTCAGTCAAGTACAACATGAATGTAACTTCCATTGATATTAATTAGGTAAGTCTAGAACGTTTACAGTAATAAGAGATTCAGTAAAAGCTATAATTTACTTCAAAATAGGAATGGTAAAATATGTAATAACTAAACTTCAATTGTCATAAGCATAACATTTTTCATATTTATTCAATTTAACATTTGCAAATATAAATAGCTACTTGTGAACATTCTGTGTTTACTGTACAAACAAAATAAATTTTTTTACAGGATCGCAGTGCTTAAATAATTGGATGAAGAACCAATACTACATATAACACACTATTAAGTAAATAGTACATAGATAACAAATATTAACAAACGTACCTAATGTATGTAATGTTATGCTGTTCAGTGGAACATTAACTGTAGCATTTGCGTTAAATTTTTTTTTAGTAGTTGCATATAGATTGTGTTGCTACTAATTGCATCACGTTTATGTGTTACAATATTCAACGTAACTACGAACATGTTATACTACTCGTATTTGTCGATATTTTACTATAATTAAGCTATAAGAAGCAAGTATTATGCTCTCTTTAGACTGATTTTTACAGTCGATTTACATTTCGTTATTCCTTTTAAATAAATCATCCGCTTTTTAATGTATATTATAAGCTCATTTTTTGTTAATTCTGTATTTATACAGCGAGAACATGATTACATTTGTTATTTATTAATTGGAAATTTAATTATATTATGAAAAATATTCTCCTATTTATATCCTGGTATACGAATAATAGATTTAATACGTTAATCCTTCGTGATAAAGTAATATAGTGTTAGAAAAGTATAATAATAATTTAATATAAATGTCTTCAGGAATTTCTGGAAAACCTTACGTAGTGTAAATAGATTGTGTATATATTCTAATATTCAAATACCCAATAAAATATGTCTTACAGTAATACTGTTGGCTGTATTTGAATGTTACAAACTGTTGATCAATTTTTTTATCATTTATTGCTTTAGTTTCAGGTCCCTTCCTATTCTGTTTATGGAACAGTAGTAGTGTGTATTGCAGGTAAAATTGTGGTATTTACAATATTTATAATTGATAATTCTTAGTAATAGTAATGAAGTTATTAAACTCGATGTTTTGTTTACGAATTATCGTAAGATGATTTGTTTTTAGTAATAAACATAAAGGAATTCCCAGTAATAAATATTAATACAGTATATAAAAAACAATTAATACATACTAAAATATTAATTTTACTTGGAATTTTCAATTCGAATGTTTCACTTCGAATTATATTTAATGGCATTACTATTAAAAGTACTACGTTCTCTACTATCAAAATACAAATATTTTTAGTGAATGTTGCATGCAATAATCTTTATAAGCGAACATATTATAAAAATAGTAGTATATTAATAACAAGATGTTACAAATATTATTAACTCCACTTTTCATATTACAATATGGCAAGCTAATTAAAAATTTCACATTCTATTTAAACATATTTTACATCAGTACAATACAATTCTGGAATAATGTTACATATCTTACATACATTAGCGTTACATTGTGTACAATAAACTCAGCAGCATTAATGGCTACAATCAGAGACAAAATTGAGCAAACACCTGTATATTATACAGGATGTTAATAAGAATACGGGACACTTTTATGGAATTGCGTGGGAATTATATTTGAGGCTTCGTTTCCGACTTATTAAATGTTGAATATACGGGCAAAATAAGCCTGAAATACGGTTGACGCGATGGATTATACTACTCGAACAGCCGATTCCCAGCTAATAGACGGACTTGACCCGGTGAAACTTTATTGAATGAAGTCAAATGAAACGAATGAAACCAAGTCATGAAACAGGTGAAGAGCACCCCTCTGAAGTAGAATAACCCGTCATTTCATACGTATTTTACGCATATTTCACCCGTATCTCTAACAATTAATAACTCGGAAACGAAGCCTCGAACGTAATTTAATCATTCTTGATTTTCGTCTTAGTTTGGCATGTAGAATCCATCCTGTAAAAGTGTCTCACATTTTTATTAACACCCTGTGGATAAAAATATTGGAATTCAGTGATTTTTCCTAATTAATTTCTAATTTTTCTTATTTTTTATCATAGTTTACGTATTTATGAAGAAATTTTGTAAGCAGTTTTATAAACAAATGTTGTTCTTCAGGTAAGAGTAATTACAAACTAAATTCGAACAAAATTGAGTGAACATTTTCATTTGTGTCATATTTCACGCTGTTTATTTACCTTTAATATTTTGTACTTCCTCTTTTAGCTCTAATGAGTCCTTGTAAATGTCTACGAATATTTTCCACAAAATCTTTGATCTTATCTTTCGTTGTACACTCCCATGAATGCTGCATACCATTAAAGAATTAAATTTTATTTGACCGGCTGGTACATAATTGATACCTCCTTATCCAATAGGGTACACAAGTTTTTAAATAGGCTCAGGTCTGGTCTTTGCAGTAGCCGATCCAAGAGCTCTATTTCCGAATCATAGAACAACTCGTCAGTTTTCTTGGCTTTGTGTATTGGAACGTTATTTTGTTGAAAGACAGTACCCATTTTCTTCACAGATTCTTTCAAATTTTTATTTATGAGGTCAACATGTCGACCAGCATTAGTAATTTCATTAAGTGATGCTCTTAAAATTTCTTTATAAATACATTAACTACAATAAATGAAAAAAAGGTAACAAAAATTAATAAGGGAGAACTGCTAAATCACCACCATTTTTTCTACAACAGTCGGGTGTTCGCTCAATTTTGTCTCTGACTGTATCTCTACCATAATTCTATATCTTAAATTATAAAATATGTAAGTACTTTCTAAATATTCAAATTATATTACATGTAATAATTGTTATATAATTGTATACAATCTTCTTTCCGCAAGAGAACACACTATTAATTACATTTTGAAGAATATGTATTATATTAGAAATAAAAGTGATAGTCGTTAAATTTTTATGATAAAAAGATTTCATTTATTTATTCACAATGAAGGCAAGTTGCTATTAAGATATAAATCAAAGACAATCTATTTTTCGATAAACTTGATTTGTTCTTATTTATTTGTAGCTTGAAAGTAATTACGTTTCAACTATGTGCTGCAAACATTTTTATCATTCCTCGACATTACTTTATTACATATACGCTCATAAAAAAGGAAACATTTCAATAATATTAAAAATATTCACAGTACAAAGTAGTTCGCAAAATAATATGAGTATACCAAAATAAAATCTAAAATATAATTCGAGTACATAAATTAAAGTTCCTATGGTATAAATACTGTACACTTTTTTTTACGTGCTTTCTGTCGAGCTGATGAACAGTGCTGTTAAGGCAAATAGTAGGAACACTAATCCACCGATTATGGTCACTAGAAATAATACAAAATATTCCCAATGTCTTGGTTTTAAATGTATTTTAATAGAAATTATAAAAATATAAAATATAATTTAATATTATTTCTATAATAATAAGTCTGTATCCCTTAAAGGACTTTATTTAATTTCTTAATATAGGAAGAAAAAATACATAATTTACCTGTTCGTACTGAAATTTTTTGAGCTATCATTCTACCTCCCAATACTGCTAATCCTGTACAGAATGAATGTCCAAGTATTCCACCTATTACTACTCCATAAACGTCCTGAAAACAATATGTTTGTTTAATCTTCCAAAACTGGAAATCATGAACTCTTTTATACTTGCTTTGGCCTTGTTTAGTACTGCATTTTTAATTTTCAACAAGTTCAACCAGACACAACAGTTTAAATATTTTATATCCGACAGCATGTCAACCTTACTAATGTTTACAAGAGAACTTTAGTGGTTACTCGAAAATCCCGATTTTTTTTAAATTTGCAAATTTGAAGGACTTCAACACAATTATCAGGCAACATTTTTGGTTATTTTTTGGTTCTTCAGAGTAAAAACACCCATTACAGGTCAATTTAAACAATCGCGGGGGTCGGTCAATGTGTGTTTCCTGTGTATCCTGAAAACTGTAGTAATATATAACAAAAATTGTTAGAATGAAAATTTAATGGTTTTTTATGTCGTATAAAATTGTGCCATGTAATTGTTAAAAATTGATTTATTTATTTAAAATTAGTAATATTTAAGTCGTTGCAGTATACAATGTCGTATAGGGTGCTGTACATGTGTCGTGACTCTGCGCGGAAAGTGTTTTGATTTTTCGACATTTCCGACAATCGTATGATTAACCAGATAGAGAAAATTCTACGTTTTATAATCAACAAAAAATGACCTATATTTTCCTTGTGCCATTAATTATTTTCCAATTTATTCTTATTTTTCCGTTTTTAAAAGTAAGTAAATTCAAATCCTAACGTCGAGATATAAAATTATAAATGTTTTACTTGATATGGTAATACTTCATGAAGAAAAATAACATTTCGGCAATCACTAACGTATGAATACTTGACAAACATCAAAACCGTGATTCACCGGTGGGTCACGCCGTTCTGTACGGACACAGTAGCTGACCAGCAAAATTGGGCAGTAAATTATTACTTTGCGAGTACCTTAATAATTGTCTGATTAAAATAATCGTAATAATAATAACCATTAGCCAATTAAACATCACTGAGATTTGAGGCTTTCACAGCTCGGCATCATACAGTTCTTACTGTTCAGGTTTCCGGGTGTTAGCCGTGTCCTTGCAGAATTATTTTCCCAATGTTTCTCAAGTATTATAGCTAGCTTCATCAGAAGGTCGAAAGACATACTGATACTGAACACCGTATCACAGTATCAGTGTGTCTTTCGATCCCCTGATGAGTTTAGCTGCAATGCTTGCGAAACATTCGGAAAATAAGTCCAAAAGGACACGGCTTAAACTCGAAATCCTCAACAATAAAAATCAAATAACATTTTAAATCTGCAATCATAAATCAGTAATTTCTAATTATGTAATGAAAGATTACTTTAGATTTTATAAAAATGAATAATCTCCTTATATGTTCGTAAACAACTCTCTTATTTAATTAACATGTTCTAAAAAAAAACAAATTTCAATTATTCTGTGATTAATAATTAATGAGTTAATCATATCTGATGATTACATTTGTTTAATTATTTCTCTTATTCACTAATCATAATCGTTAATTATTATTCAAAAATGATATTCTGCCCAACTCTACTCAACAGTGAATCAAGCCAGGTTGAATGTGTTAGGTGCATTTATTTGTTACCTCTCTGGCTGCAAGTATAATGGTTGTAAGTTGTGAACGATCTCCCCACTCTGCTAGAAACGTCAGAGTAAATGCTTGAAAAAATATCCTAGAAAGGAGCATCAGTGCATTAATTTTTGCAGTTCTTCTAATAACACCAGTTTCTGGATCCTGCACTAATGTGCTCCCTGTTTCCTTTTCATACTAAAATCCATGATATTTAAAGATTATTTAATTCCTGCAAAAACGTTGTGAGAATGGCTTCGAATCAATTATTCTATGAGATCTACATGGACAACCCTCTGAAAGTATATATGTTATTATAATATTAATACCTCATCTTCACGCTTTCTCAAATCAGATTGTACTTCTTCTAATTCTTCTTGTCCTTCGGTTGTCGACATGTAATAACCATCTCGTAACATTTTAAAACCAAATATAGCAAAAAGTGCAGTAGAAATATAATATGTATAGACTCGAGGAATTATAGTTGCAGCATATCCAAAAACAACTAGAAAAGATATGGAAATATAATGTTTCATTTCCATGATATTGTTTACAGAGAAAATTACTATAATCGATACTGTTGACTTAATGCCTAGAAATTATTTACAAACTTTTTAATAGAGACATACAATATATCTATAATACTTCAAATGAAAACATGTAGTTATCTCTATATCTATTCAAAATATGTAAGAGTTGTGTGATTGTATCAGGAAGTGTAGCACATAATTATAAATTGTTGTGATAACATTATTTGTAAAATTTCAGTATTAATCTTATTTTTCCGAAACATTACATATTTAAATATTATTATATGTAGATACAATTAAGTCCATACTTTTGGATGCTTTTAGTTTCTTACAAGGCAATCACCAAACCAAGACATGTCGATTTTAATAAAACTTCACACAGAGGTAAAGTAGCCGAAAATATTCGACATGCTAAATGTATCGTAAAGTATTGCTAGAATTACTGCTCCCCAATTTCATGATCAAAATAAGGGGTTGTGTGTGGACATATATGTACACATTCGTGAGTTGCTTTTCGTTGTCCATACTTATGGATATGTAACAAAAATAATATTAAATAATTAGCTCAGACAGAAAATATTCATAAAAATGTCCTTTTTTTAATCCATTCAAGGCCAATCACACAACTTGGTGTCTAACGCCGTCCCTAGGCGAAAAAAGACCAATAACACACCTTGTATGTAATAACCATGGATTATAGTTATAAAAATGTTGGTTTCTGAGGACCGATTTTCAAAAAGTCACTGGCCATGAGTAAATTAACTATAGTAGTATCATGTGTGATTTGACAAAAATTTTCTTCACACCATGTCATTTTTCATATAAAGCAATTTTTAGATTTAACATTTTTGTCAAGCTGTATTTGTTCTGGAGTTATTTGACTTAATTCATTGTCCATCCCCCAACTTTGAAGGATGATTTCACACCCGAAACTGAAATTTCACAATATTTTCGGCTGCTTTATCTGTTTGCGAAGTTTTATCAAAATCAGAGTGTATCAATTGGTTGAAGATTCTTGTTAGAAACAACTGGATATTCTGTGTAATACAATTTTTTTTTTTCGTGTAATATTATTTTTTTTCTAGACAATGAGTACACATAAATAATTTAAGTATAACATTCAATATTACATGTCAACACTTTGTACGCCGCATCCGCTAAGTATACGGCGAGAGTATACTCCCACTATTCTTGTCATGAAAAGATAGATTATTACAATTCTTTATATAAAATTATTAAGTTCTAATGATGGCCAGATATTTAATAGGGGTACTGAGTGATTTTTATGCATTTTTCCAAAGATTTTGGTTTCTTGTATTTGTTATGTTGAACTTTATACATTTCATCTTTTAAGGTCTATTTAAATGTTACTTTTTGGCTTGAAAAATCATACTGCTTGACCTTATAACAGTTATTTAATTGACTATACATTTCAAACTTGGAAAATGTTCAAAATCAGTGTCAAGAGTTTATACGCAATGGTAGCCAAACCTTGTCAAGATAGGAGCCATATATCGCCTATCATAAGTACTCGAGAGCCGCATCCTCTATTGGAATGGTATTAAATAGTGAGTTACGCTTACAATCTGTGTGTATATCACAACGTAAGTCAGCAAACTTACGGAAATATTACATACGTGTATGTAGTATGTGTCAAGTTTATAAAAAAGTATTGTAGAAGTATATGAGAGCCGCAGTAAGGGTCTAAAAGATCCGTGTACGGTTCGCGAGCTGCAGTTTGGCCGCTGTGGGCCTACAGTCACACCTTGATCTCAGCAATTGCTTAATATTGGGTATCTCTACTTGGCTGTTATACTAAAAAATATTTGTGGTAGTTTGTACACCCTGTACAAGCAAGAATAAGGTGACTCCTTATGCAAAAATAAGTTGAATGTATGGAATAAAATTTCTTCATTTAAGGCTTCATTTCTGAGATGATGGAATCTGACGATATCCTGGATGCGTGTGTAATTGGATAGGTCTTGCATAATGCGTCTGTTCATGGTATTCCGTTTCTACTTATTGCCAGCACAAAACACACATACCTAGTTGATGAAATTTTCAAGTCGCTATTCTTGAAAACTGCACCTTGTATAAAAAAAATTTATTCTACAATTTTAACATATTTTTGCACGAGGAAACACTCTGTTCTCACTTTTATTACGAATTTTACAACACTCTGTATATTATTTATCACAACATTCAGTACTTTTTATAACTGAGGGGTCCAGTACAAGAGGGAACTATGCCACATCTAGTCTAGTTATTATTCCTTAAGTTATAACTATGTAGCAAAAATTCTGCCTGTATTATAATTGTATACACATATATACGTATACATACAATCATAGTTTACTATTGTATATATACACAATCACACTATACTATGATGTACAATACTTTTCATAAAAGTCTTAATATCTCACAACAATACTGTTGTGGCATAACTCTCTCTTGCTTTGAACCCCTCAATTGTAAAATGAACCCACAGCTGATCTCTATGTACTTACATCCTTCTTAACTAGTATTTCTTTAACACATTTCATGCCTAAATTCTTTTAGCCCAATAACAGCAAATATTATATACATTTATAAAATTTACCATGTAAAGTGTGTAACAATGTGAATATCAATTTCATAAAACTAGAATGCATCAATATTATAGTGAAAGTTATCAATAGCTAGAACAGAATATTTGCCATAAGCTAGCAGTGAATTATTGGATATGAAATGTGTTAACTAATACTTTCATAAAACAAATGGTAATTAGTGGTCATCAAATTAAGTACATTGTTTGGAAAGTTAGATTTATAAATGACAATACCTGAAAGGATAGTCATGAGGGCTAAGGCACTAATTGCACCTACAAAGACTATCAGTCGTGGATGTTTCATTGCCATAATAGCGGCAATGAAAAAAGTTTTGTCACCCAACTCGGAGACAACAATAACTGACACGGAAGCTATAAATGCATGTAAAAAACCAAGGTTATCCTTGGGTTGAGGTATCGTCACATCATCGGGTTTCTGAAATTTATTACGACCGTTATTGCTATCAAACATATGATACATGATACAAAAAGATAAGATCGAATACTCACCGCTGATGTTATTAGTATTTGATACTTGTCTTCGTACCGAGGCTCACTTTCGCCCGATACTATGGATAGAAGAAAAATACTCGTTACACATATACACAACAAGTGTCTGATTTTTAATACAAATCGGTTTAACCCCATTTTGATTTTTGTTATATTCAACTTTTATCAACACGCATACCGAACGCAGAACAACGCAGAAGCGTGTAGCGCGCTACCCAGCGCCACCAGCGCTGCTTTTCTACGTCCGTGCGATGGTGTGATTACTTGCCTACGGACTACGGACGAAATATTAAACGCATGCGCAAATATCACCAACGGTTTCATATCGAAGCTCATCAGGAGAATATGAAAAATTAAACATCTGTGTCCTGCTTCGCAACCCCACCACAGGAGTCCGACATCTATCGTATGTCCCCAAGAATGAAAATTTCGACGACAAATGTATGAAACTATTCCATATAAAGTTTTGAACATCGTACGGAAGATTTACAAGTTACAGAAGAGGGAATTATTTTTATTGTTATAAGTCTGAATAATATTTAAGGCATGTTTTACTGAATTTATGCACACATTGTTACAAATATATTGTAAACTCGTATATACATATAGTTAAATCTAATTATAACTCAATAATAACCAACATTAAAACTATATTTGAATATCATAATAATAATAATAGTAATGTAATCCTAAAATTCATTATAATAATAGTAATTGCATCCGCCCCCAAATACTTCAGTACTATCATTAATGATACGATAAGGTAACGGTCAAGAAAAAAGTTCTAAGCTTCATAGGATTCAATATTATGGTTGACAAAACAATTAGGTCAAGATTGTATGTTCGTGAATTTTACGATTATTGCTGTTTTTTTAATGAAACTGTAACTTTTTCATCACACCGTGTTGTAGTAAGTTTCGAGACAAATCCAACGATGTATAACATCATTTTTAAAAAAATATTTCAGTAGTTTCTATTTTATAATAGCTAATAAATAATAATAAATTATTATTTGTACAGAATAATGTTGCAACATTTAAAATAATCGAAATAAGCGTATGCGGGACGATCTATAATGCATGGTATAATCGAGAAAGAAGTGATTCAGCATAAAAAAATAAATAAATATGCAGGATAATATTTTTCGTGAATCTCCGTTTTCAAAAAACTTGAATTTGAAACTTCATCGAGTTTCATGCTTTAAAGTTTAAATTATGATTGACTAATGTGTCCGCCTGTTACTCGCGGTTTCTACTTATAGCGATCACAAATGGTGATACGGTGCGATCTACTTCTTAATAATGATCCCATTATCTTCTGCTTATCAGTCTACATAAAATTTTTGTTAAAAGTAGGTAATACGTTACCATACTGTTGTCAATATTTACAAACAGTATTACCGAACAAACATTTCAATTAGATTCCTTCGAAAATTAAGCACTACAGGAAAAAAATTTATTCTCAATTTTTTACTTTTGTATGTGAATATACAGGGTATCCCCAAAATTATAGTACAGTTGGCTTGGTGGTGTTCTACATGTAAAAATCAGTGAAAAAAAAAAGAATAAGGTAATTCCACGCCAAATCGATCACTTTTTTCTCTCAGATGTCTTGAATTTTGTTCAAAATAGGATATGACATAGTTCACGTGCAATTACGGAGTGTTTAAGACATTATTTGTCGAGTCTCGAATTTGTTTAAGAAATACAGGCCTTTCAATTTTGCGATTTTTTCCCATTTTTCCGAAAATGGATTGTACTTATGAATTTATATCTCGGAAACTATTTATCGTATTCGGTTGATTCTTCTTTTGTTTTAATAAAAAAAGATCAACCGTTTCAAATAAAAATTTTCAGGTCGAAAAATCATTTTTGAAATACTGAAAATTATAAAGAAATTCTTATTTTGCAAATTTCGGTTCGATCTCACGATTTTAAAAATCTGAAAAAATACTACCGTATACGTTGAAGTGTTTTTTATACAATAAGCCTATCCGTACGGTGGTACGGCTCATATTAACGTCGCAGTAAGCTGTTGAAGACAGCAGTGCGCCCCGGCTCAGGTAAAAGAATCAACCGCTCCGCTATTACGGTCGACTGCCCCTATCGCTACCGCTCCAGATTATTTCAATGAAGTTTAAAAACAATATGGAAGTGTCAATGATAATTTCTAATTTATAACAATATAAAAAAATAATATAATTTAATTGAATCTGAAAATCTGCTGGATACGCATGCAATTGAATAGGACTTGACTAGCGCGTCTGTTCATTGCACTCCGTTTCTACTTACTACCATGACGATACATGCGTTTCAAACTAATTTTCAAATTCGATTTTCTTGAAAACAGAACCTCGAACAAAAAAAATTTATTCTTTTCTTTCGACTTATTTTTTCTTACAGAATTATGGCCCTGCCGGTTGTACCATGATTTTGACGGTGGAAGGTGGAGAAAATTTTCAGTAGGTAAATTTTAATGGTTTCGTCACAGCTAGAGAATCTCGTCTGTGGTTTCGTGTAGAGTGTAGTGCATTACACGACTCGTGTGTTGCTCCGGAAGTGGTGACGTTTCAGAGATTTCAAAACCACCTTTATTTTTTAAATAGAACTATGTATATATTTTTATATACATCAATTGATGTTCCCTGATAGCCAGTAGTGTACAAGTTTCGATCAAATTGCCAGCAATAAATGACAAAAGTTGTTTAAAAAACCATAACTATCTGTTTCCGCATTTGACTTGGGTTTTGCAAACAAGAAAAATTAGAAAAAAGATTTATGTCCTAAGATTTTTAATTTCTAATTTTTTATAACATTTCATTGAAATGAAAATAGATTAAGAATTCAAGTTTCAGTCAAGTATTAATTTTTAAAGCTATTACAATGAAGAAAAAATGTAAAGTAAGGATTACTAATTTTTATCTTTACTGTCATACAAAAATGTCCTAGTTCTGTTTTGCTTGATAACACGCAAATCGTTATCACTTGATATTTCTTCATCAACATGCTGTATAATAGAATTAGGCTTAGAAGAGAGGGTGCTCTGACTTTGTAATTCTTGTAAAACTTGTCGGTATGGAGCTAAACAACTTTGCAGATTTTTTTTTAACTTTTCACTGCGCGTTTTTGAAGGATCTTTATCAGTAAAATGCAATTCTAATTTTTTAGCTAAATCCATTCCCTCTATTACATCGTTCTCAGTTAAATTTAATGCTGATTCAGCATTCAGGTGATTTAACAAACAATGACCTGATAAGTTACTGTACATAAGGATAGTAAACTGATCCTTAGCAGTTTTAAAGTCTGATATGAACTTTTGATCTGCTGTAGTGTATGTATGAGATGGCATTTTTTTCCAGTATGATGAAAACTCATCTGCATTAACAATCTGGTCTGCCTTACATTCTTGTTTATCTATAATTTGCGGTGAATCCAATGAAAATTTATGTGTTGACTCTGCATCTGCTGCAACTCTCTCAGTTTGGAATTTGATGTTATGCAAAGACAATCTTTTCTTAAAATTTTCAAACCAGCCCTTACTTGCAGAAAATGAGTGTGTTATATCTTCTGTAGAGGAGGGACCATTTTCTTTTAAGTGTTTATAGATTTGAAGGGCTTTTTGCTTAATGATATTCCCACTTAAAGCAATCTGTTTATTTGTACAATCCTCAATCCAAATTGAAAGAGCATTCTCCATCTTAACAATATCTATTTCTCGTGCACGAAATGCACGTTTTGCGCCTAATGGAGATCCTTCTGCAACGTTTCTCCTTATTTTGTTCTCATTTTTTTTTATTGTTCTAATAGTTGCTTCATTTAAATGCAATGATTTTGCAATAGATGATGCTTTCTCTCCTTCATTCAATTTATCCAAGATTTCAATTTTCTTTTCAAGTGAAATAAATTTCCTTTTTAACGGAGTTTTATTTTTTTTGTTAGACATTGTATGAACAAACCTAAATAATAATAAAATTAAGAATATATTTTAAGGTAAACGTTACAATTATGTATCAGTTTAAAAAAAAGAATTTGTACATACCTCAAAAGCTAATTAGATGAAAATACAAAACAAAAATTTTTGTTAATCAAGATAAAAAAATGATTTGTGTTAACAATTATTCACGACATTCTTATAAATTCATTTAGAATCAGTTGTAGAGCTTTGAAATAGAAGGGGAATCCCCTCTTAATTTCACCCAAAGTTTCGTCTTATACGAGGGTCTCGCAGTTCTCAAACCGTGCTGTATCAAAACCGTGTTCTCAAAGTACTATGTTATATGAGGGTTATCTGTGGCCCGTGCGCTACCGTGTAGCCATACAATCAACGAGAACCGTGTATGTATACGCGATGACGAGAGAGTACCGATTTCGTAAATTCCAACTTCTGTCTCAACAATTGCACAAATGAACTTTTCACGGGTATAGAACTCACGGGTAGACTTCCCTACAGGGTGGTCTGGTCCGTATAAACATCAATAAACACGTAGAATTGAAAGAATTAGAATTTTAGAAAGTGTCGATTGTGACAGCGCCGATAAAAACACATAAGATGGTTGCACAAGTCACATTTTGTTAAATATCACACGATTTAATGGTTTTCTCGTCAAACGCAGAAATCTAATTTTTGTCAATGTATCACTCCTGGAAGGCAGAAGTTGGAATTTACGATTCGACGCGTCCAGACTCAGGACCAGTGTTCACTGTTACAATTAAAATTTGATCGCTACGTAGTGAAATTAGAAAGAAAAATGGATCATGAAGAGGAGTTTCTTAATACATTCTTTACTCAAGTTGCTCAATTATGTACTGACAAAGCTAAGGAATTAGTTGTAAGTGATTATTTTCGAAATAATGCTTGTACGATTCACATGATTCATAAGTAATTTAGTACCAAATTTGAGTGATTGCTAAATAATGTGTTTGCATCTGCAAAAAAAAGTGGTATTTGATGCAATATGTAACAATTGTGAATAATATTTCGTACAATTGTAGCAGTCATTTTAAAATAAACCTTTAATTTTAAATAGGATCTTCCTCAACATTGTGTTTTTTATGGCTTATGTTCAGGAAAAAGAACGTGGATCATGTCGTCAAACACAGTTGGGTCCATGGGGAATGTTACTTATGCATCTACCACAAATAGCAGTGGCAGAACATTCATATGCTGATCTGGGATTTCTTCATACTAAAAATAAAGGCTTTTTGAGAAAAGATGTAAATATATGAATGTTACAATAATAATGATTATTAGACTATTAAATTTATTTAATATTTATTTCAAATTTCTATAGAATTCACTCAAAACAGTATATGAATCTTTGAAGTCTGACTTGAAAAGAGTAGAAGAAATGACCAGGGGAACTAATTCTATTGGTGCAACAGTCGCAGAAGTTTCTAATCAACTGTGCCAATATATTACTGCAAAGATACAGTTGATAGATTTGTTAGTATAATATTTTTTAAATTTTTGGTTGATAATTGTATGTAACAGTATTAAGTTGCAGTTATGAAAAGATGTACCATATGAGTATAAACAACAAAGTTATGAAATACCAAGAGTTACTGCAGTATATAGAAGGAATAGTAGAAAGTCATTCTCTCTCTTGTTCACATTTAGCATTAACTGCTGTTAAGGCAAGTTTAACGTAAGTAAAAAAGATAGAATGCTGAAAATAAAAAATAAGATTACATCATTCAGAGATCTTTTGCTTATGATATGTGTGTTATATAAGTGGTTTTTAGAATATTTTATGAATTTTTTATAATTTTATTTTGATTAGTTTAGAGTGTGAAATATTGGTACAATTGACAAAGGCACAAGTTGAGCTACAACATTGGAGGTTCTTATCAACACTGATGTCTTTATATGGTGCACAAACACGAATGTCAGCCTGGGAAAGAACATTGCAAAGTAAAGAGGTCAGTAATACAGATTGAAATTAGGAAGAATAAATATATGAACCCTGAAATATGTTTTTTAGTCATGGAAATTAGGCTTCGGTGCAACTTTTCTGAAAGCAAATCAACAGCCTGCATTATACCAGTGGTTAGTCAAGCTGCGTAGTAGCATATTAGCTAAATGTTCTCTATATTTCCATACTACTTTGAGTCAGCAAGCCAGTCCAGGAGAAATGAAAAGTATCTTGAGTAAACAAAATGTGGATTATTATCAAAAGTAATATTTTTTCAAATGGTATCACACGTTTAAATTATTATTAGGAAAGAATAAATTTGCTTTTATTTTAGAATACAGAGCTTTCAACGGAAACACGATGTCCTAGCAGTTTTGATAATATTTGACTCTAGAGGAGTTGATGATTCAGGACCGGGTTACAGACATCCCCGTAGGGAGCCGAATACTTCCGAACATTTCCCTGTTGTTCTCAGCTGTCCAAGTGTAAGTTTAAATTACACCGTTCGAAAATTCCGTGTAAATAAAGGTACCGGGCATATAGACAAATTGAGGGTTGTCTTCAGATCACAAAAATCAGTAAAAACAGTACCAATTAAGAATTGTTTTTAACCAAGAGTTAGTTTAACCAAGACTTACTTAGAAAAATAAGTAGGAATATTTGTTCTTAAAATTAAAATTATGTGAAGATTTTAGGAAGTTAAATCTATCAGGTTGTCTTAGATCGAATGGTGTAAATGGTGGTATTAAATCAAATTAGCACAAATGGTGCAAAAACAGAATTGAATTTTTATATAGCCATGTGAAATAAAAATCATGTAAAAACCGAATAAGCGTAGTGTGAAAATGTTAGGAAATGCAGAAAATAAAGAATAATGTGAAATTTTATGCACCGATCTATGTACAAAATATAAGGTTTAATGGTATTGATCGAAGTATTATACGCGAAACTTGGTTTTCGAGAAACTCAGAATAAATAAGAAAACTTCCTTTTATGTTTTGAATTCATTTTTGTCTTAGTGATTAGAATGGATTTTCCAAAACTGCTAACACACATCTATACATATATTTTTATATTCGTTCCAGACGTTTGCACAGCAATCAATGTATCTAAACAATATACAGAAACGAATTAAGGAACGGCAAGCAGAACTTCTAGCTATGGATAAGATTGTTTATTGTAAAAATGTAAAAGTAAGTTCTTGTATGATTTTCAATGAACAAGTACGTGTATATGTAGTATGAAATGATACTTCTTTTTACAGGACCCGTGCGTATGTGCTATGTATAATACTGATCCTAGAATGACACTTATCACTGTGTTTGAAAGTGGTAAGCCAAGGGATAAGGAGTCTCATGTAACATCATTTATGACAGATTTGTGTATGCAGATTAGATGCAACAAAGTATATGAATTGTTGAAACTATCAAAATAAAGAATTATAAGTGCATACAGTAATATTATAATATTACCAAAGAGTCCAGTGCAGAAACATAAAAAATTATTTAAATTGTTTAGAAGCTGATAAGTATAAATAAAATTTGTATTGTTTACTAACATATTAACTACTATCTATTTAAAAATCAAATCCTTTAGTTTTATTATTTAATTATTTTAATAAAACAGTAAATAAAAGTATTCTTATACTTATTTATAATATATATATATACAAAATTTCTTTTATTATTAAGTAAAAATTTTATAAAGACATGATCGCTCTTTTTACTGCTTTTTCCTTATTTCTTCTTGCTTTATTTCTATGTTTACTGCTTTTAGTTGCATCTTTAAAAAGTTGAATTCCTTCCTTTTCTTCCATAAGACGTTGCATATGTAACATTCCATGTAGGTTGAATCCAACCATATCCTAGAAGAATAAATTATAAATAATTTTATACCCTCGTTAGAGAATTGCGTAATTTTGATTCGTATAAAGAATTGTTCTTACTTTTAGTTCGGAAACTTTTTTGATGGCTAATGTCTGTACAGTCTCTAATGTATGTAGAAGTTCTTGGTTAGAAGTAATTGGACCATGATGTGTTTGTACTAAACACAATGTTAATCTTGCTATTAATTCTGTATGATGATCCGATTCCAATAGCTTGGGTAGCATTTTAAGAATGTCACAAGCTGCTGAATATGGCAGTAATAACAATGTCTCTTCCAAATCACTAAAAATTTTATAATATTAGTTATTTCTCTTAATATTGATGCCTTTCAACTAATGTTAAAAAACCAAGAGTAGTGATTTTATATGAAAAAAGAAATCGAAAGTGGGGAGTAAGATTCTTTCGTAATTTCCTTTGGTTTCAAGAAAATTGGAATTGAACTTCAACCGGGGACGCTTAAACTGAAATTATAAATGCTCGAGTGGTTCGCTTGTGTAAGAGCCACGATTGGATAACGGCCGCGAACTGCAATCTCAATTTTTTCGAAAACAAAGTTACATAGTACGCATTTTTGACTTATATTTTGACATACAGGGTGTCTGTTTAACTGAAATCGGTGGAATATCTTGTAAGGAACTGAATAAAAAAAGTGTTCTTATAAAAGTTGTTTGGTATGAAGGGGGGAAATAGAGGTAAGTAATTTTTTTAGGTAGAGTAGTGGGAAAGATTTCAAGATGAAGTGAATTTTCTTAAATGGAATGCTATATTTTTTATTTATAATATGATAGCGTTTATAGAGATGAGTTTAACATAAGATCATTGAGTATAGTACCACGAGGGCCAAACTGCTGCTTGCGAGCCGCACACGGCTTTGTTTTACCCTTACTGCGGCTCCCATATACATATACAATATTTTTTTTATAAACTTGACACGTACTACATACACGTATGTAATATGATATTTTTGTACGTTTGTTGACTTTATTGTGCAGTGTGACAAAATTTAATACCGTTCTAATAGAGGATGCAGCTCTCGAGTATTTCTGATAGGCGATATATATATAGCTCCTATCCTGACAAGGTTTTGCCATCATTGGTATAGTAGGTCGTAAGTTAGTAGTAAAATAGGAAGGAGTCAGATCAACGTGAGCACAGGGCGCGTGCATCACCCACATAACCGCACTAGATTCGTGACTCATATTGATCTGCCTATTTAACATCTCACTATTTTACGATCTCCTATTACATTCAATGACCTTATATAGCACATTGTCGAACTCGTTCTTAAAACACTCATTATATTCGTTCCATCAATAACAGCAGTAATTGTTTTATAGATTGTTCTGTACATACAACTCCTACCTTGCTCTGATTCGTTTAACTGTTTCCAATAAGTAATCTTCCACAGTTGTACAATTGTAAGCCTGCATTTCTAAAGGAACAACAGATGTTGCATTCAATGCTGCTGCTTTCGATACTTGTTCACTATATGTTTTAGATACTTCTAAACATTCTAATAATAATTCAGCCTAAAAATTGTGTAATTTACGCATAATATGATAATATAACTTGTATCATGTATGGTAGCAAGCTTTATTAGTATTTACCCCCTTCTCGCTAGAGACCGTCTTCCTGGAAGGTAAAGATTGTTGCTTTTGTCCTGGAACAACAGTAGTTTCACCAGTAGCTAACTCGTTTTCTTGACGTTCCCTTTCTTCTTCTTCTTCATCTTGTAAAACTAAAGGCTCTGAAGTTCGTTCATACATCCTAACGACTTTATCAGATCCACATGATATAATGTAGATACCATTCGATGAAACAGCACAGTTCCATGCTTCACCTGAGTGTCCCTGAATATAAATTTTATTATTAGTAATAGTATAATAATGTAATAATAGTATTACAAAATATTTCTGCGTTTTGTTTTATAAGTTACCTGCAATGTTACAATTTTTTGGAAAATGTCGGCATCCCATTGTTTTACTTTTCCATCTTTTCCACACGTAAAAATGTAATGAGTCCCAGGAACAAAAGAAAGCCCTGTTACAGAATCATCATGTGCAAATATTGATTTGTGACAGTCCCCGAAGTCTAAACCCCAAATTTTGATATTTCTGTCAGCAGAACCAGTAGCAATAAGTGTTGAGTCACTGGATATGTCCATACACAAGACTGGTAATTTATGTCCGTAAAGCGAAATGAAGAACTAAAATAAACTCGTGTAGTTTTTCTATTACGTATGAAAATTCTCTATCATAATTAGAAATAATTACCTTAAAAGTGTCAAGGAAAAATATTTTTACAGTGGAATCAAGCAGTGCGACTGCAACAAATCTGTTGTTAGGGCTTACCCTTACGCATAAAACACTATCTTCAAGTGTTAAAGTTCTCATATGTAAAACAGATAACACTTTTGCCTTTATTTCACTGTCAGGATCTTGAATTAATTCAAAATTCCAAAATTTAACTGTTTGATCTCCTCCACCACTTACTACTCCTTTCTACAAAAGTATGAAAAGTAATTTCAAATTTGTAGAATGCAAGAAAAGTATTGTAAAATTGAGCAGTCTAAAATAAATGTAGTACTGGAAGTATTCTATCTCTATATGATATTACCCTATCAGGAAGTAGTGTAATGCTCCAAATTTCTTTGGCATGTGCAGGTACTTCTTCTAATATATCACCTGATGCAATATCGATAATTAACATTTTCCCATCTTTTAAACCTACTATTAAATGTCTATCTCCTGGTACAAATGTTGCTGTTAACGCATACCCGCATTCCACAGTACGTATACATGCTAAAGTTGGTCTAAAATTAAAAAAATGTATAAGATATCATCAATATCATCATAAACGATACTTATTATATTTTAATACCTATTCCACAGTTTCACAGAATCTCCACTTGCTGTTGCAAAAGCTAAATTATCTGAACTAAAACAAAGTGTACGAACATCAGTACGGTGACCATGTTTTGTTATGGACCTTAGATGTCTTATTTCAGCATCTTTTTCTTGTGTAAATAGAGAATACAAGTCAATGGAATTATTATTTAATGCAATGCATACCTACAAAAATGATATAGAACTTGATTTCAACAAAATTTGAGGAATCCTTAATTAAAACTTTATATAAAATTTTTTGTCATTACTTACTCTGAGTTCACCTCCTTTACCCATTATCATATTTAATCCTTTAGCCTTAGCAGACACTTTAACCACAGGTAAGCGAACAATTTCATCTTTTATTGTTGGTACACCTGATAAATCTGCTTCATTATTATCTCCACTTCTAGTAGTAAAACCGACACGTCATATTAAAAATTCGTTAAATATTTTTAAAATTCTTAAATTTCTTCCAAAACTCAATAATTTAGTTAAAACATATCATATCTTTACATACTTTACTGCTTTTTTTCTTTCTTTTCGTAATCGTTTGACCACATTTTCTTTTACTTTGGTATCGGGTAATAATTTAAATAATTCTATAGTATTATCTAAACCATGGCATCCAATGATAGTTTGTGTTGTATCAACCTCGAGGGATACAACTCGTCCACGACCACTTCTCAATATACTCCCAGCCTTTTCACATTTCAGAGGATATTTCTATTAAAATGCAACATGTTTGTTAAGTAAAAGAAACACAACTATGTTGTAGATAGAATTGTAGACTGGTAAACACATACCAGGTCGCTGACTTCTGCATCATTAGTAATAGTTAAATTTTGCAAATTTGTTTCAAAGTCTACAGTTGCACCATCAGTGAAATATATTTTCCACACTTGTAATTCATTATCCTTACAACCAGTAATTAAATACTGATCATTTTTAGCTAATGCCAAAGACCATACCTTAAATAACAAAGTTTTTTTTATTAGTAACCATACAATAAAAGTTAGATAGTAGATATCTAATATTCACCTCTGTTCTGTGATTAACAAGTGTTCTGAAATTATGTTCTGTATTTAAATCCCAAAATTTTACAAAAGTATCTTTACTAGCACTGATGATAATATTGTGCTCTTTCATAAATGCTAATTTAGTTATTACACCTTTATGACCATTTAATCGACATATTCCTGTTTCTGCTACTACGTCCCAAACAATAATATCTGTATCCTGGAAGACATGAAAATTAGTATTTTAAAAAATCCAATTATTATTTCCAATGAGTCACAATTGATACAGATGATAACTTCTTTTTCATTGAGGATTTATGATAAAGAGTATGACATAGTTAATGTAAAAGCACAGAAAAGTGACTGAAAAAAATACTTATTATGAAATAATGAATGGAACAGAAATATTATTTGTTACGAAATTATAAATAAACTGTTATCAATAATTGAATTAATAATTTTTTGGAGACCTCATCTTAATTATGTACAAATTTTCAAATAGATAAAAGTATTAAAAACCAAATATATATTCTCATAACAGAAGAATCATTATATTTTGAAGATATATTCTTGAACTTAAACAAAGCAATCCTTAAGTAAATAGACCTTCTAGTTTATTATTACTGTGGTTCTATCATCTGCTCCAATTTACACAACTCACTTTATAAATATTTACATTACCACTCAAATTTATTTAATCATTTATTTGATGAAAAATTAACTCAACTTTTTTAGAGTGAGACAGATGCTAATGGATATAAATACTTCAGTTTTTATTTAAAGTTAATACATATTATTAAAGGAAAATGGTAAAACAATAAACTGCATTCTTCTTTTTTTTGTAACAAGCGATCAAATATTTTTGAGCAGTAACATATTTTGTTTACCATAATATCTTACTTTTGCACCAGAAGCTAATCTATGTCCTTGTTTATCGTATACCAGAGTTGTAATCTCAGACCGATGACCAACAAATACACTTATATTTTCACCTGATCTTAAATCAAATGTCTTCACAGTACCATCTGCATAACCAACTGCTATATGTCGCTGATTTGGAGATGCAGCTAAACATGTTACATTCACTTTATCTCCTGACAATACTTGGGCCTAAAATAAATGACAATAGTGTGAATGTTCTATACTTTAATTACACAAGTAGTATTATAACGTTTGTTACAAATTACAAATATTTATAGTATTTTACCTTTTCTCCTAAACGTAAATCCCATATGAAAACATGTTCACATGCTCCAACTGCCACAAACCTACCTTCTTGTCCTTCTAATGTTACAAAAACAACATTACAAGAAGGACTAACTATTACATTTAAATTCCCAGCTGCTATGTATCTCAAATATTGTTTCGTTAAACCCATGTTTAATTATTAATTATAACTTTGTAAAGCAATAGATCACAAAGAAAAAGATTTATTTGTACAAAAAGTTTTTTATATTACATAAATAACATTCTGTTCAAAGTAGGGTTTCATGATCGATGTTTTTACACTCAACATTCAAATGTATACTGTTTATGTTTGAAATACGAATGGTTGTTTAATACTTAAACGTTTGATTTATAATTTAGGTTAAACGCGCACATGGTCAACGTTGGGCATAGACATAGGGATATTATTTATCAATTGCAGCGCGTAGCTAACAGTAGCCAACGACGATCCAACATTACTGCAGGAACTCGGCTGGCAGACTCGCGCTGTGATTGGTCAGGGTTTTTCGTTAATATCTCGTTAACAAAGCCTCGGATAACATTTTTGTTAATTGTTTCAAATCACCTCACGAGTTTCAATTTCCGGATCCTCCAACATTTTTGTTACACCCTGTAAGTAGACTCCAGTTTCTATGGGACCTCTGGATCTCTGGCCGGTTAATCCAAAAATATACGTTAAACATCATTTAACAGCACATTTCGCGTTATACGCGTTATGCACAAGGGATCTAGCAAATTTTGTATATATTTTAAAATTAAATCCAAAGAATGTATCAATTCAATTGATTCAATTGTCTACCCGCTAAGCCACTCAACGAAAATGTGGCCGATTAAAGCGGAAATCCGTTAAAGCGGGACCGGATAAGGGTGAATCTGGTAGATTGTAGAAGATTGACTAGCTAAGCTAGAGTTGGTTTGAATGTAATTCTCGATTTCACTATTCGCGGAGTGTAGAGACCGCTGAAATTACAGGGCTTGCATTGCAAATGTCTAAGACCACGAAGTCTTGTAAAATGCTATGTCTGTTCTTATATGGAATGATAGATCGGTGAATAATCTGTTCTAAACACGTTCAGTCTGTTATAAACACGAGAAGTTTGAACAGTTCAAACCGAGTTTGATCTTTGCAAGGCCTTCAAAGTTTCCAAATAATTTGGTAAAGTGTTTTAAACTTCAAATTCAAGACGTTGATGTTTGATGAAATGTTTCAAACTTCAAGCTGCTCGAGTTCTAAGCATCAGCCAAGCGACTTGACGTGGTGACCGGTGGGGCATCAGAGGCTTCACAATCAGTTATTTATCGATATTCTCCTTGTCTCGCAGTTTCAAAAGCTGCTGGCAGCTGATTTCAACTTTCAAGTTCAAAATATTTTATCAAACTGTTTGAAAACTTTACAGTTGTTCGAACTTGAAGTTTGAAACGTTTCTGCAAACTGTTTGAATGCGACTTTCAATTTGGACATCTCAGTTTGGAACTGGTTGTCCGCGGATCCACCAGTACTTATTTTCGTTTGTGTTTATATGTATATCATATATGAATATGTAACACGCAGTAGATTAGAAGTTTTGAGTCACAAAAATGAAGGTAATATTTTGTTTTTAATCTAATGAACGCAGCATTTGGATAGGTATAACTTCCAAATCAGAATATATATACAGTCAATTAACGTCGTAATCTACATTAGGATACAAGTAACTTCTCTCTAACGTAGTTTCATTCTTTTCTATCGATACAACGAAAAAGCTACTCCTGTTTTGAAAGTAACTAGATTATAAAGCTCGGATTTGTTTTTATTCTAACTCTTTAACAATTATTAATGCAATAGTTCGAGGGGAATTTGTCGAACAAACTATTAGTATAACATTTAATTGTAATTTATACGGTTTTTTCGCTAACGTTTGCGGCTAATTATAATATACATATGTATACCGTTGAATATCACGGTATATTTTTCAACATAAATAACATATTAACAAGTCTCTTTGCAGTACATTTAAATGAAATCTCAATCCGTTTAAGTTATCAGTATTAATAACATAAATTACTATGACTTTTAAAATATAAGTTGAAATACTAAAAGTTCTTTAAATACCAAATTGTAATATTTAAAAATGATGAAATGTTCAAGTGGTAACAAATAGTTACCATAATTTTATTAGTAGTATCTTATTTATATAAAAATTATTTTTCATGTTATAACAAAGTTTGACTTAATCCAACTAAGAAGGAAAATAGGATAATTAACAAATTTTATAATTAGGTGATAGTTTTTTGTATTATTTAATACAAAGGAACTGTAGAAAAAATTACATTGTAATGTATTTACATGCATTTCAGGAGATAGTAAAATTTTCATTGGAATCATTCACTTGTGGCACACATACATAGTATATGTATAAATTGCTTGAATCACTTTATAAATTACTTTTGTAAAACAGTGAACAAAAAGGCACTATTAAGAATTATTTTTTTATCTCCAGAACACGTAATTTTAATTTTTACAATATTAACATCTCAACAATCTTCTTTCATTCATAGTAAATAATATAATAACATGACAATAACTTTACCGTTTGTACATTTTTTTTAATGTTAAAAGCTTCATGTACTTCTGAATTACCACATGAAATTCAATAACGCTGAATATTTCAAGGGCTTATATCATTTACTAATCATCAAATTCTCTACAGTATTAATAAATATACTAAATAACAGGTTTTTACATTTTCTCTAATGTATGAAACGTAACCATATTTGATATTAAGGTATACAAATATTACAAATGGATATTTATTATATGAGAACTATTGCTTGTATAAATCTTATGTCCATTAACAGTGCGTTTATTGAATCTCAGTTTTTTTGTCATATTTCATCACTGTATTGTAAGCACAAATATTGTATCAAAAGCATATATAAAACACATAGTTTTCTATATAGTAATTATTGAATAGTTCTGCCTGGTATGTGAATAGTTAGACTTTATGTACAACTTAATACTTTATGTACAACTCTAAAAATGTATTAGACAATCTTTATGTATTATTTTCCGACTGAGACTTGACAATTTGTTCTCCAACTTGAACTGGTTGAGCTAATGAGTTTTGAAACCACATCATCCAGTTGCTCAAATAATGACCTCCCAACTGATTATCAGGATTCTCCTTTATCTGCACATTGTTTAATTCTTCAAAATTGCGAACGGTTTGAAGTTCAGTGAAATTATTATTCACTGAATGGCCTCCATGCATTCTTACCTCTCTTTTTCTAAGAGCATCTTTTACTAACCTTTGTCTGCGTTCCTCTTCTGTTTCGATAGCAGACCTTGTAAATCTCATTTCTCTAACTCTTAAAGCATCTTTCTTTAATCTTTCTTTTCTTTCCTCTTGTGTTTCCTTAGCATACTGATTTAGTCGAGCTTCTCGTCGTTTTGCTGATTCTCTGTTCAATCTCTCTCTCCTCTGTTCAGGAGTTTCAGTAGCATATAGTGAAAGCCTTTTCATTCTCCTTCTTTCGGCTTCACGATCCAACCTTTTTCTTTTTTCTTCTGGTGTTTCATTATACATCCTATATTCTCTCTTTCTTGCTGCCTCAGCATCTAATCTTTTCCTTCTTTGTTCTGGTGTTTCATAATACATCCTCATTTCTCGCCTTTTCGCTGCTTCCTTTGCCAACCTCTGTACACGTTGTTCTTCACTTTCCTGTTCATATAACTTTTTTCTTTTTTCTCTCATGCACTCTGCTTTCCTCCGAAGTTTGTCTTTGTAATCTTGTAACAATCGGATTTTCAATTGCCTTCTACATCTTTCAGGTTTAGTTTCCTTGCCTTTCAAATTATTATCAGTTTCTGATGTTTGGTCCCCTTGTTTTGTTAATGATGTTATTGTAGGTTCAATTGCTGTAGGAATTTCGATCTGATCTTTGGTAGTCTTGGAAATATTAGATTGATCACTTTCATTATCCACACTGCATAGCCATCCCGTTGTATAAACTGTTTCATGATCTATTTCATCTTCTTTTTTTATATTCAAGTTTAGTCCTAACAGCTCACTTGCTATAGTCACTGTTGAAATACTATAATTAGCTGTCTGTATTTGTTCATTTTGATCAATAAAAACTTCTGAAATTTCATTCGTTGGCTTTTGTATTTCTATATTCACATTTTCGTAGTCCAAATTTTGCAAGTACGTTGATTCATTCAAAATTCCATTGATATTACAATTATCATTTTGTTCTGTAGGATTTAATGTAGAATTTATATTATTTAAGCTGCTTGTATTTTGTGAATAATCTTTATTATTTATATTTGATTCCTTGTGGTTGCTGGTAGCACTGTATGTTTTTCTTTCTTTGATTTCAATAGCACAAAAATGTTGGGCTGCATTAATTATTTCAACATCATTAAAATCTGTCTCACGTTCGCTACTCTCTTGTTTAATGTATACAGGAATAAAGTCTATGGAACAATCTCTTATTTCTACACTGGTTTCACTTAATTCCATGTCCTTGTGATCCAACCAACAGCAGTAGATACTGAAATTATTATAAAATCATATACATTGGGATTAAAAGTTTACTTTTAATAGTGGAAACTTTAGTTTTGGTATTCATATAGTTGGTAATGAAGAAACAGTGACATTATAAATTAGGCAAGATGATAAATAGAAGCATATCTAAATTATCTAATTCATTAGGATTACATGAACCTAGTACTTCGTATAAGTTTCTAAAAATTTTTCAAAGTGTCTGACTACAATGAGTAACTTCAATAAGTGCATTCTTCGCTTGTTTATTTTGTGTTTCATTTACAGAGCATAGAAGTTTTCTGGTTAGGAAAGATTGGTTCCTGACCAATCAGAATAGTTGGCACTGTGTATAATCCCAAATAAAGTCTGCATATGTCCCTTATGAGGAATAATATCATAGTATTACATTGATTTCTTAATGAATTTTTGAACAATGGATTTTTGTATTATTACCTTCACTATTCAAAGCTCTATCATTGTGCAAAAGTTAATTACAAAATTAAGGTAACACAAAGGTACCTCTCTTTGTTAACGTTGTTTTTCATCTATTCTTTTTCAACCACTTGTCTCATTAATTAAAAGAAGCTTTTCATTTATTATATTACCTTACATATAGCTTCACTATTTCATATCATCAACTATACAATACTGTTTTATTTATTACAGGATCTTAGTCAATTGAAAAGTTGGAGGAATTAAAAAAAAGGTAAGTATAAGCGAGATATTTTTGTATCTGAAACAAAGTAGATTTTATTCTTATTTTAAGTTAAGTGTAAATACCATGAAGTCAATGACTTAATCGGCTATTATCATTATCTAAAATGTAAATTTCACCTGTGTATCGTCTGCTTATGACAGCTGATCCAGATGATACTGCAACTGTTTAGAACATATTTATATTTGCTGCAAATCGCAGAATATCAGCCGTTTTCCTTTCCTTTCGTGTCACATGTTAGTATAGTTTGACAAACGAGTCGAGTCAATATCCATAAAATCCGATGGTTGTTTTCACTCGAAATTAATTCACAATGCGAACTATTTGCCGCTCGTCGATCCACATCGGTCGACATTAGGTTTGTTCGCATCGACTGTACTCACTGCACTTGCGCAAAAAGTGAAAACAACCATTGGCTGATTCCCGTGGCTCTGAAAAACTGGTCGATGTTTCCATAGAGACATATTGGAACATGTATAATAGACTGCGCGGTTTTATGGTAGGGATGAAGTCGGCACTAGAAAGAGACGCAAGTAACTGGAGTAACTTTCCCCTATTTCTAATGGAGCTATTGGTGGGGGATTCTCCTACGGCTGTGTGGAGGAATTACATACGTGCAGCATTCCTTCTCCTCATCGCCCTCTAGACGTGTTCTCCCCACCCTCTGCCATGTGCGAGCAAGAGAGGAGTTACTCCAGCTCTACTTCTGTCCTTCGGTCTCGCTTCATTCCTACCATAAGACCGCGCAGTCTATTATACATATATGTGTCTATGATTTTTTCCGTACGATTGCTGAAAATGAATAGACCAATTACATAAAACTGATTTAAAACAAAGAATTGATGGCAGTACGTACGCGCAAACGCATGATATTAGCGCGTAATCTTTGAAAACACGTTTATGCGTTAATGTCTACTTTTATCTTCAAATATGTTTTTCTTTAAGAACGAATTACGATAGGTATAGAGATAAAACAATATGGCATGCGTATAGTTTCATTAAAAAAGATATATTTAAGTTATTAATTTGGAATTTTATACATATTTTCTTAAGTAATTATTTTATTATATTTTATTAAATTGCTACGTTATAAAGAAATGCATAATAATGTTAAAAATAATAATATAACAGGCATAATTATAAAGGCAAAATCAAGTAAAAAATCAAAGAATTTATTAATCATTAGGCATGATTTCAATAAAAAAAATTCGCTGGCATAAAACCTTTAGGAACTATATTAATGTTGTCTTTGTATTATTATTGCAATGTAATAAATTTCTTAATACAAGAAATACATTGCTCTATTACTATACTTGTTCTATTATAGTTAGTATATTGCTATATTTTTCAAAGAAATCAGTCAAATTATGATGGACTTAATAAAATGTTATTTGGAAGTATTAATCACGTAAAAAAAGTACTGTTGTAACCTTTTCATTTTAGACGGTAAGAACATTAATATTTATGAAAGCCTTTTATAAGTAATAATGAGTATGTATAAAAAATATACAATTACATAAAAAATATAATGTACTTACGTACAAGTCAAATATTAATTTTCAAATGTCACACAGCTTTCTGTGAAACATGCAAAAATATTTTAAATATGTTTTTATAGTCTTTGAACCTTCTGTTATAAAGTCTCAATAAAGTTTTTTTCATTTATAGAATTCAAAGTGATTTATCTTTACTTTCTTGTAAGCTACCGTTTTTATGGCGGACAATCACTTACATACATTGTGGTAGTAGCGTTGAAGAAGCGTGGTAGAAATGTTGAATTAGTAAGAAATGTACTGTAAGTTATTACTATGAGTAAAGGAAAGAAAGTGACACTAGATAAGCTTCAAAACATGATTTCCATATTTTTATGAACTTTCCAACAGAAAGCAGGTAGTTTAAAAATTAAAATACAATTTGTCGTAAGTATGTGGCCGCCACTGTAGACACGCACCATATTGCTATATTTACCTAATCGAATTACCGGTAAAAAAACGGCGAATTACCGGTAAACAATTCAGGGTATTTTTCGAGATTTACCGGTAAACCGGTTTACAATCCCTACCCCCTATAAAGTGATCCCTTGCGCTAACGGTTGCTTCAAATTTCAACTCGTAAACACTCGATCAGTCGGAAAGTTTTGGCCGTAGTGTAACTATCTGGTTAGCCTGGAAGAAGCGCGAGAATATTTACCAGATTGTCGCTCCTGAATTCCACGTTCCGTGTACCTTGGGCAACGGTGGCGTAGGTATACTGTTTCGAATGCGTTTCTTTGCGCGTCCGCCAATAAATGTTGTTGCTTTTGGTGGTAAAGGGAGGTCACGGGAACAGCATCCGAATGCCGGGGTCTATTCGCATGAGAATTTTACCCGGCCGTCGTGGACGTATAGCGTCGCGGTGGGACAGCGCAAGGGGCCCCCGATGGCGGTTTTTGCCGGAGCACTACGTGCTCTGATAATTAAGACATTTCCATTTAGAGTTGACGTCCGGCGACGTGGAGCTCTCTCCGCGGCAGGACGCGCGTACGTTTTCGGCGGTCCGCGGTTACCAGAAAAACCTAATCCACATGCATTGTGTTGATAATTAATGGTGTATGATCGAGGGGCCCCCGTTCCTGGAACGACGGAAGATCGACCGTGTAAGAAACGATACGTGTATATGTATCTACCGCGAGAAAGATTTATTAGTTTCGCGTAATAGCGAGAGAACCGGCGGGCCAATACCACGCTCGATATCGTGCAGCATTTAAGGAAATAATTGGGAGACCGTGTTTTGTGAATATCTCTGGGCCAGGAAGGTCGGCTTCTTGAGGCTCAATTAATCTCTCCTGGCTTGACGTGTCTGACATTTTTTGTTCTTTTATTTCTTCCTTGTGCCCGTTTCTGCTCCATTTGTGCGAAAGTTTGTGGGTAAGCTGTTGTGTGAATGTAGAGTCCCTAGTGCGTAGGAAGAGTACACTGTGAAAGGGGAGAGGATTGGGTATCAAGGGTAGAAGGTATAAGGGTTTCGAATGATCGAGATTTGATTTTAATGTTTCTTGACGAAAATGAGCTTTTTTCTTGATATGTTCAGTGCGTGACATTGGTTCAGACAGAATATATCTCTGACATTTGTAAAAATTCTCGGTCACATAAGAATAATATGTAACTTTCTTGTAAAAACGGTGTTAAGGTACAAACAAATTTGTTTTGATTTTTTCTGGTTATTTTATAGGCAAAAGTACGTTTTTTGCAGTGAGACTAACCTTAATTTCCTAGAATAATTATTAACTTCACAATTCGCAGTTAAAATTATGTATTATTACTGAAAGTAGACAATTGAATTAATTGGCTGTACAAGTTTCACTACTCAAAAATACTAGTGACTACAGGTATACATATACCTACGTACACTGATCAACCTTAAATAAAATACGTAACACCATTCAGTTGGAAATAACGTCGAAACGTAAGAGAAAATAGCTGAAAACAAAACAAACAATCCTACTAGGACGTGCATAACTTGAAACGCATTTATCGTGAAATGTTATTTTCGCACGTTGCCCTCTTTTTACCAGAGCATGTCACAAATATCATTCTACATATAACATATATCATCTATTCTGGTTTCATTCGGTGTAGAAAAAGTAATATGCCTAACAAAACAAAGTATAATTTAACAGAGAAAAAGTCAAAAGAATAATGAAAGTGTATGTATAAATCATGAAGCACATACTTTAATTATAATAATAAAAAACAACGAGAAAGTTACTCCAACAATAATGGGTTTAAATACAACTTCTTGTTGCGGCCTGTTTGATGTGTTATTAACATAGATGTATCGAATATACGTACTTTTGAGAGACTTTTTATTTTCCGATATTATTATACTTAAACCTTTATACAGTGGTTGCCAAAAGTTTCTCGCCGAACTGTAATTTCAACATATTTTTTGAAAAATATATAATACAAATCAATACTCTTGATATACCCATATTGAGGATACATTGCTTCTTCATATTTGGTGGTACTGAAAATTTTCGTGCACAAAAATAATCGGTTCTCTTGTTTCTAACACATACGGGCCTGACAAAAGTTATGACATAGATGTGGTGAAATTACAGTTTGACTGGAAACTTTTCACAGCCAAAGGTATACCTATACCTTTACCCTTATCATATTTAGATATGTGCACAGAGAACGAATGAGATCTTCCAAGGAGATCAGTCGTATAAAAATGGTTCTTACATATACTGCAATGTAATTATATAATTAATACGTATTTTGGTGAAACTGTAGAAAAATTACCTACCCTCCGATTTGAATGAATTTTGGATATGTTGTGAAACTCTACATTTGAACAACTTTTTCCCTTACATATAACGGGGGGAGTTGCTTAATTTCCGAGATATTCGCGATAAATTGCCGGTATTAGCGCATTGAATTAGCTTTCTTTAGCTTAACCTTAGCTTTCGTTTATTTCACTGATACAGAGTAACGATTCATACTTATTTAGTACAGGTATTAACGATGTTTAGTTTCATAGAATTGCAAATCGATTAGTATAATGCTTCAGAGTTGATTAGACGCAGTTCAAGAAAAAAATAACTGTCTTTAACCAATTCTGACTTACCTTTTTTCTTGAACTGTCTCTAACTAACTCTAAAGCATTATACTAATCGATTTGCAATTCTATGAAACTAAACGTTCGTTCACGTTAATAACTCTGCTAAGAATGAATCGTTACTCTGCTGCAGTCAAATGTAACTCCCCCCGTTATATGTATAGGAAAAATGTTGTTCAAAATGTCGAATTTTACAACATATCCAAAAATGATCGAAATCGGAGGGTAACCAGCTTTTCAGCAGTTTGACCCGTATATTAACCCTTTGCCTTACAACATTGAGTCAGACACGTGATAACGATTTCAAACTAAATTT